CTATATATTTCCACCCGGACGCCTTCTATTTTAACGTATTTCGCCCTTAATTTATTTATTAGCTTTCTTTTAAGCAATTATTTTAGGGGACTACTAATTATACACCCTCTAATTCCTAAATATATACCCCTTTTTTACTATATATATACCTTTTCCCCCTTCTATTGCTTTACTACCTTCTAATTAGCTTAGAGGGCTGCTCTGTAGCCTCTAATTTGCTCGCTTAACTTACTTATTAATTCCGAATACTTTCTCTAAATACGGCTATATATAATATAAGCAATTATATTATACTAATTTATATAGCCTTATATACGAGCTTATATATAAGCTTATATATAGCTTTATATATAGTATTATATATAGCCTTATATATAGTATTATATATAGCTTTATATATAAGCTTATATACGGCCTTATATATAGTATTATATATAGAAAAACGTAAAAGTAAATACCTAGAGGAAGCTCTAAGCTCTTTAAGCTAATTAGAAGGTAGTAAAGCGCTAAAAGAAGGGGGTGTATATAGAGTAAAAAGGGGGTGTACGTCTAGGAATTAGAGGGTGTACGATTAGTAGTCCCTTTATTTTAGAGCCTTATACCTTTATTAGAACTTTTTACCTCTAAATTCGCTTTTTTTTACGCTCTTTACGCTTTATAGCGGCCTTATTTACTTTTTAAAGGCTTATAACCTAATCGCGTAATAATATAGCCCTATATACCTATACTTTAGCGCCTTTAATAAGTAAATTAAGTAACTTAAAAATCGTAGTAGAAAAGCTATTTTAATATATTTAAATGCGATTATAAATTAATACTAATTAAAAGCCTAGCTTAAAAGTATTACTTAGTGTTTTTAATTCCTATTAAGCTTTTATAGCGGCAGGTAACGGTATATAAAGTATAATATTAAGCTTTAAAAGTACTGCCTTTAAATTAAGCGGTATAAGGCTAGTGCCTTAAAAGCTTATATAGATATTACTTTTTATAAATAAGTTATTAAATACTGCTTTAAAAGCTAGTAGGAACTCGAGCTTTATAATATAGTTAATATAGTTATATACTAGATCCTTAATTTAGCAACCGTACGCTTTTTTTAACAGCGCAAAACAGCCTATATTAAGCAGCTATAATAGATATAAAACGTGCGGCGGTATATATAGTATAATAATATTATTCTTCTTATAAAGCTCTTTAAATTTAAGCAAGTTATAGCTTTTATAGCCGTCTAAAATAAGCAGGCAATATATACCTATAGTGCGGTCCTTTATATATATATTAAAATATTATAGCTATATAATACTAAGCTTATTTATTATTTAGCTATTATTACTTACTGCTATAGCCTAGTCTAGTAGTATATTACTGCCCTTATACTATATAGAAAGATAGTAACGTATTCTATAAATAAGCCGTCTACCTAAGTAAGCTGTCTACTTTATTACGAAAATATAACGCGTTAACTTCTAACTACTATACGTCGACAATATAACGTGTAATTAATATAAAATAAAGGTCGAATATATATAGCTATCGCAGCAATTAATCGGCAGCAATTTATAAGCGAACGGCGCGCTATTATAATATATAACGTCCCTAGAAGCACACTTTAAAATCGACGCGCTGGAATAACCCCACAACGCGATTTTAAGCCTAATTCGAAAAAGCTTTTAAAGCTAAAGAAATTAGTTATTACTTAATATATACTCGACCTAAATTTATAAGAATTTTAGCCTAGCTTATATACTATATAAGAAATAGCTAACAAATTGCTTACTAAGCGCGCCGCCGGCTAAGTTAGCAAGAACTGGCTAGAAAACTTTATTAAGCAAATACCTAAGCTTAAAATATAATTTAATTAAAAATACAACTATTAAAAAGCTTTATATAAGGATCTAAAAGCTATTAGTAATTAGTTTAAGCTTATACGCAATATAAAAGCAAAGTATAGTATTCTAGATAAAAATATATATAACTTTAATAAAGCCGGCTTCTAAATAGGTGTTATTTTAACGGGCGTAGTTATAACAGGCTTTAAGCGCCGTAATCGTCCAAAATCTATACAGCTAGGTAATCGCGAATAGATAATAATAATCTAAGGTATTAATACCTATAGATAGGCTATTCCACTATTTATTATCTTTACAGGTATATACCACCTTTCTATATAGTATAAGGGTAATAATATACTACTAGATTAGGTTATAGCAGTAAGCAATAATAGCTGGACAATAAATAAGCTTAGTATTACCTAGCTATACTATTTTAATGCGTATATAAAAGATCGCATAATAGGCACGCACTAGCTGCTAATTATTAATAGCTATAAGAGCTATATCTCGCTCGAATTCCAATAGATTTATAAAGAGAATAATATTATTACTTTCTATATACCAGCGCATTTATTGCACCTACTATAGCCGCTTAATATTAGCTACTTTACGCTAATAAAAAAGGCGTATAGGCGCTAAATTAAGAACTTAGTACGCTACTATATTAATTATATTACTAAGCTAAAGTTCTTGCCAGTATTTAAAGCAGCTTTCTATAGCTTAATTATAAAAAGCAATATTTACGCAGGCTTTTAAGGCGCAGGCCTTATACTACTTAATCTAGAAGCAGTGCTATTAAAGCTTAATATTAGGCTCCGTATACTATCGCCTCCGCCTGCCGCCGTGGAGGCTCTATAGGAATTAAAAACACTAAGCAATACTTTTAAGCTAGGCTCTTAATTAGCTTTAATTTATAAGCGCATTTAAATATATTAAAATAGCTCGCCTATAGCTATTTTTAACTTACTTAATAGCCGTTTTAAAGGTGCTAAAAGTATAATATATTAAGCTGCGCTACTGCGCGATACTATTACCAGCCTTTAAAAGGTAAATAAAGCCGCTATAAAGCGCAAGGCGCGCAAAAAAAAGCGTATTTAAAGGAAAGGAACTCTAATAATAGAAGCAGGCTTTAAAATAGCTGCTTAATAGCTTAAAAAGAACGCTTAAAGTAAAAAGTAGTAAGGTAGAGCAGGCTCTAATAAAATCGTGCAGCGCTATAGGCGCTGCGGCGAGTTAGGGTATAATATTTATACGTGTAAAAACGATGTAGAGGTTGCTATAGATTAGGCTATAAATTATATATAGTTAATATCTATTAGCGTTATAGAGCAATTAACGTTTAAGGCAGGTTTTTATAATAAAGTAGACGGCTTACTTAGGTAGACAGCTCGCTTATAGAATACGTTACTTACCTATAAAAATAATAAACGGCGGGATTACCTACCTATAAGCGTTAATAGCCTTAATTATAGTAGCCTACTTATAATTGCCTAGTTATATAGCTTTTAGTTAATTTTATTTTTTAGAGCTTATAATAACTACTTCTATTAAAATAACACCTATCTAGAAGCCGGTTTTATTAAAGTTATAGAAGTTATTATCTATAATACTATACTTTACCTTTATATTATATATAAGCTTAAACTATAGCGTAATAATCCTTAGATTTTTATATAGAGCTTTCTAGCAGTTATATTTTTAATTAAACCGTGTTTAAAGCTTATTAGTCCGCTTAATAAAGCTATATAGCTAATTCTTGCTAACCTAGCCAGCACCGCGCTTATCTAGCAGCTTATTAGCTATATTTTATATAGCGCTTAACTATAGTATAAATCCTTTTAAATTTAGGTTAATTATATATTAAATAATAACTAATTCCTTTAGCTTTATAAGCTTCTTTAAATTAGGCTCGCAATTATATTAGGAGGTTATTCTAGCGTATTGTTATTAAAGCGTGCTTCTAGGGACTTTAAAAGTTGTTATAGCTTATTATTTACTTTAAATTTAGTTTTTATTAATTACTAAAATAGCTAGGTATATTAGGCCTTTGCTTTAGACTAGTTGCGTATTATATTATTAAGGTATAATAGTTAAAAGTTAATAGAGCGCGTTTTAGTAATAGAATAGCCTACTTACTTAAGTAGCCCGCTTACTTATAGAGTATATTAGGTAAATATATATTTTTTTTTAGGAAATATATTTAGGGTTTTACTAGGCTAGGTATCTATTTAAATATTTACTATACTACTTAGTACTAGCCTTAGTACTACTATACTACTAGCTTTAGTACTACTTTTACTTACTATAGTACTACTAGCTATATAGCTATAGTACTACTTTTATTCTAAAAAGTATAGTATTTTCCTACTTTAAATAGTACTATTTTTAGGTATAATATTATAAAGTATACTGCTTTTTTCTATACTATATATTTAGCTTATTTTTTAGTACCTATATTTTTTTTTATTCCTAAATTAAAAATATAGGTAATAAAAAAGGATTTTTTTTATAGCTAGTACTATATATATAACCTTTTTTTACTATTTATACAATGCCTTTTTACTATTCGTATAACCCCCCCCTTTATAATCCCTTTACCGCATTCTAATTAGCTTAGAGTAATACGCTAGAGCTCCGGGCATTTACCTATATATTATATAAGGCTATATATAAAGCTGTATATAAGCCTATATATAAGGCTATATAAAATAAAAAGGCTATATAGCCTTTCTATTTTACGGCTTATTTTTCTATTTTATATAGCCTTATATACGGGCTTATATACGGCCTTGCGTATAGCCTTATATAATATATAGGTAAATACCTAGAGCTCCGGCGTATTACTTTAAGCTAATTAAAACGCGGTAAAAAGGTTATAGAGGGGAAAAGTTATATAAATAGTAAAAAGGTATTATATAAATAGCAAAAAGAGGTTATATATATAGTACTAGCCTTTTTTATACTATAGTAAAATCCTAGGTTTAATTTCTAGTAAAGTTACTTTTTTTTTTTTTTTTTTTTTTTTTATTACTATAGCTAGTACTATAGCTAGTATATATATTCTATAGTATATAAACTTTTACTAAAAGCTAAAAAACTATAGTAAAGGTTAATATACTATAAAATATATATATTTTCCTACTATTTTCTAATATTTTTTAACGCTGTTTAGCTAGCTATAGCTAGTATTATAAGCAGTACTATAGCTAGTATTGCGAGCAGCACTATAGCCGGCACTATAACTAGCATCGCAAGTAGCATTATAAGCAGCGCCTTGGCCAGCATCCAGGCAGCGCCGTAAGGAGCTTTGCGAGCAGCACCGCGAGCAGCACTGTAGCCAGCGCCGCAGTAGCATTGCAAGCAGCACCGTGGCCAGTGCTGCAGCAGTATTGCGAGCAGTACTGTGGCCAGCGCCGTAGCAGCATCGCGAGCAGCACTGTAGCCAGCGCCGTAGCAGCATCGCGAGCAGCACTGTAGCCAGCGCCGCAGCAGCATTGCGAGCAGCACCGTAGCCAGCACCGTAGCCAGCACGTAGCTAGCACTGTGGCCAGCATCGCGAGCAGTATTACGAGCAGCACTATAGCCAGCGCCGCAGCAGCATTGCGAGCAGCACCGTGGCCAGCGCCGCAGCAGCATTGCAAGCAGCACTGTAGCCAGCACCGTAGCCAGCATCGCGAGCAGCATTACGAGCAGCACTATAGCCAGCGCCGCAGCAGCATTGCAAGCAGCACCGTGGCCAGCGCCGTAGCAGCATCGCGAGCAGCACCGTAGCCAGCATCGCGAGCAGCACTGTAGCCAGCGCCGCAGCAGCATTATAAGCAGCACCGTGGCCAGCGCCGTAGCAGCATCGCGAGCAGCACCGTAGCCAGCATCGCAAGCAGCACTGTGGCCAACATCGCGAGCAGCACTGTAGCCGGCACCGTAGCCAGCACCGTAGCCAGCACCGTAGCCAGCACCGTAGCCAGCACCGTAGCCAGCACCGTAGCCAGCACCGTAGCCAGCATCGCGAGCAGCACCGTAGCCGGCACCGTAGCCAGCACCGTAGCCAGCACCGTGGCCAGCATCGCGAGCAGCATTACAAGCAGCATCGTAACCAGCGCCGTAGCCAGCGCTGCAGCAGCATCACGAGCGCTTTAGAGGCGCGCAGTATTTAGTGGTGGTAGGGGGCAGCAAAGCATTAAGTATTTTTTATCGCGAGGGGCTGCAGCGCGCGTGCGCGCGCGGGGGCCAGGCAGGCTGCTGAAAATTTTACCTGCCCAAAACTTTGCCGCGCCCGCATCGCAACAACCACATGTCGCATGGCTAATCCGAGACAATATTTGGACTCGGCGCGATAGGGCGCACACATGCATACCAATATTCAACATTATTCTGCACGGGAATGCCGGGGAAAGAGGCCCCGGGAAAGAGGCCCCCATGGTTGCCTTACTCGGTTAGCATGGCTTTGGGCTAAACCTAATGCGCCGAGAAAGAGGCCTCTTTCCTCGCATCCTATAGGTTAGGCTAAAGCTGGAAGTTTATATAGTCTGATAATGCCTAACTCTGGTATAATTAGCGCTATAGATTTATTAAAGCAACTTTGGCAGCACAGGGATTAGAACTTTCTTAGTTTCCGTTGCCGGCAGCCCTTGCCTTAGATACCTCGATATGTCCTTTGCCGAGACGAAGAACTTATCGGAGATGGCCAGGTATCCTTAGCCCGCGGCTTCTGGGGCTTCTATGGCCAGGATGTGCAAGGTCGGCAACATCCCTGACGTCGACAGTGCTGAATGAAAGGTTGGGAAGCCAGGGAAGATTTCCATTCAGCATTCTCGTAGGCAGTTCCAAGCCGATATTCTCTTCATTTCCAAGCTAAGGGCCCCACACGCCAACCGGATTGACCATCGCTAGTTCCAGGCTCTCCCCGTCGTTCTTTAGCCATTCCCACGCAGCTTGCTCCGCCAGCGTTTTACTTTTTTCGTACGCTCCAACTGGACTTTTGGCGTCTTTCAGCACCGTCCGGTCCTTCTCAGTGAACGGGTTGTCCTTTGTCCTCTTTTCGTGGCCGTAACTGATGGCTGCAAACGAAGATGTAATGACAACACGCTTGACGGTTCCGGCTTTTTTTCGCAGCTCGGAGCGCCCTCAGTGTCCCCTCTCGAGCTGGTTTAATAAGTTCATTTTCGTTCTTGGGCACATTCAGTGGGTAGGGGGATGCAACGTGGATCACAAAGTCGCAGCATTTGCATGCGTCGTCCCAACCTTTATCACCAAGGAGATCAACTTCAAAGAAGTCAACGGCATTGACCTGCTCCTCTAATATCCCACCGTTGCTGATTTTTTCCCGCACAGAATAAGAGGAGCTCAGAGACCGCATAGTAGTTCGGACACGGTGGCCTTTCTCGAGCTCGTGAACGATGACATGGGCGCCGATGAAGCCAGACCCTCCCGTAACAAGAACAGTTTTGCCAGTCATGGCTGCAATAGATATAAATGCTTTTTCGGGGGAAAAGGACCAGTGACAGAGCCTTGGTGATATTAACTAACACAAGCACTAGGCCATAAAGCCTGCGTTTTAATACTCGGCCACAGTATAAAGTTTCATCCAGCTCGTTCCGTAGCCTACAATCTGTGATTACCATCTTTGCTCTCCTGCCCGCCCGCCACGTAGCTGGGCTGTCCTGCCGACCGAGACCCGTGACATATTTTGGTTTCCCAACCAAAGCACACGATAGGGTTTAACGTCTGACTACACTAGACTAGACTACAGTCTCACGTGCACTAACCTTGGCTTTTGGGGATTCAGGTAGTCTTGTCCTCCTATTGAGAAGCATTGATGGCGCTGAGCAATCTATGTCAATTGTCGTTTTACAGCCGATGTTTGTCACAGTAGCTCTTGTCAAGACGCTGGCTAGTTGGCTGGCTTACTGGCATGCTTTCTACAGTGCTTGGATGACGAACGCAAATGCCCTCTAAAAGAATTAATCGTTCAAAAATGAAATATTTCATTTATAATTCTAGAGATCCCCAAGTCGAGACAGATCAGTCATAATTGCGATCGCGGAAGCCTTCAAGGACCTCGACGGTGCCGTCGCCCGACTCCTCATACTTCTTTTTGCGGAGGTCTGGGTTCAGCTGCAGCGCCTGCTTAGCTTTGACCCATTCGGCCATGGAGACGGGCCGGGTGAAGCGGGGCTTGACGCCGGCGGCTTGCAGGACGGGCGAGTCGAGGATGGGGTTGAGGATGAGGTCGCTATGGGGACGGGCGAAGTAGACGATGCCCTGGCGGTCGTACTGGATCTGGTCGGCCGGTGGGGCGACGACACGGTGGACGGAGCTCTTGAGGTAGCCGCCCGTCAGGTGGGAGATGGTGTCAGCTAGGTTGACGGTGATGGTGCCGGGCTGGGACGAGACGTAGGTCCACTTGCCGTCCTCACCGAGGATCTGCAGGCCGATGACGGGCTGGCGGAAGAGCAGGGTCAGTGTGCCCAGGTCAGTGTGGCCGGGGGTCAGCTGTTGGTTGCTGGCGGCGTGCTCCTCGGCGGTGCGCTTGCGGTAGAGCATGTAGCGCATGTGGTCCTCGCTGTGCTTCTCGTATGTGTGCTGCTTGGCCAGGTACTCGTCGTCCGGCAGCTGCAGCACGATGGCGAACAGGCGCAGCAGTGGCAGCACCACGTTGGCGTGCAGCGCCCGGTGGAAGGCCGCGATCTCGGGCAGATGCGCCTTGAGCACGTCCGGCAGGTGCTCCTCCTGGTGCTTGAAGTCGTCGGTGAACTTAGCAAAGTTGTACACCTCGATGTTGTCCGGGACCGTGCCGACCGCGTACTGCCCGGGGCGCCGGTAGCCGTTGTAGGCGCCGTTGGCGAAGTCGGCGATGTACTTTTCCTTCTCCTCGGTGGGGAGGTCGAAGGCGTTGCGCGCCAGCGTGAACTGACGGTCCACCTCCTCCTGCGACAGGCCGAAGTTCTTGACGTAGAAGAAGCCGACGTGGTGCACCGCGTGCTCCAGCTGCTTGGCCAGCCGCTCCTTGCCGCCCGGCTGGTTGAAGTCGGACAAGTCGAGGGTCACCAGCTCGGACCACGGCAGCTGCTCCTTGGTCTCGGCCGGGTGCACATATGGCTTGAGGTTGGCATAGTCGTACGGCTGAGCATCGCTGGTGGACACAGACACCTGTTGAGGTAATGTGATCACGTTTTCAGTTACGGTGGTCGACATGTTTCCGTTCTGGGAGCTGTGACTGTCGGTTGCTTTTAGTCGGGCCGGGCTTGGCTGGATGGGAGAGAGATCGATTTAGCCCTCCACCACCACGGGTATGTTGGCTTCTTATAAATCTATGCTTCCAGCGTCAATTCCGCTATTTACGCTTAGGGTCCCCATTCCTCCCGACTCTTTCAAAGGAAGTCTGTTCCATACGGTCTTATCTGGGTTTGCCGTTTATCCAGCAGCCCTACAAGCACGTCATTCACCCCAGCGACCCAATTCACGCTCTCGGTCGACTCTAATTGACATAGTTGGTACGGCTTTATAAGCACGCTCTCCGCTATTCATCAATCGTCGAGATCCTGCTCTTTGTGGAAGAAAATGTGGTATTTCCCGCCAATGGCCGTTAACCACGCCATCCACTCACGGCCCAAGTTGAAGACGGCAGATACGACCCGAAGTAGGATGTATGCTTTCACTAGCCCACGTTCCGCCATCTATCTCCTAATGTTGCCATCCTCAGATACATGTATAGCGTGTTTGCTGCCTTGCCACCTTGCCGCTTAACCAACAGCCCTGCAATAGCGCCATCCAATCCAGCGCCCAGAATCCATAAATCAACACCCAAGGGCCCCGACGAGGTCTCCAGCAGGCATTCGGCTGTCTACACCCGGGTCTCAGTGGTTTTTAGGATTCTGAGACCCCTAAGTCGCTGTTTCGTGGGGTTTCGATCTGGTCAGTTGACCAGCAGCCCGCCTATCACGCCATCTGATTTGGGGCTAAACTTCGAGATACCTCGTTCGCGAGTGGTCTCTCTGTGTTCTCTGATAAGAGTTGCAGGATCTGGACGCTATTCTCACTCTTGGCTCTGCTTTCGTTCTGCACAAAAAGGGTCCAACATGTGGTCTGGAGTGGGTATGGCTGGTTAACCCGCAGTGGTGCAATCACGCCATAAAATGTAAGGATTCGACAGTGAGTATCCCAAACCTCATTGGAGACATCTGACTCAATCAACATGCGTCCCATACAATCGCAACGGTCGCCATTATCCCCCGCAATCCAGGAACCCGGGTGTCGTCCGGGCCGGTTTTTGCATCAGAATCTCTGTAATGGCGCCATAGATAACGAGCTGGACGAAAGACTCGGCTAATCCAACGCTCAAGAATGATGGCGACAAAAGGGGTAATATGGCGGAATTGGTACCAGCAGAGTTACTCATAAAACGCGTACCCAGCTAAGACCATCCAGCTCTGCAGTTTAACAAGCAGCGATCCATGGCAGCTATCACAGCACTGGGCGAGTTCGGGTTGGCCACGCCCACGGGCGACAAGGCACATCCGACGGTGGAGACGACAGCGGTTGGGAGTGGTGGAGTCCTTACCTCCAGCGAATTCGACAACGAGCCAAAGAAATTGGAAGCCTACCAGAAGCCAGGCGCATGGGGGGCCATCTGTCGCTTCGGGCGCACCGTGCAGAGATACGTGTGGGACGATCCGGACAAGTCCACGGAAGAAAAGAAGTTTCTGTTCAAGCTCGACTTCTTCACGCTCATCTACTGTTGCTTGGGATACTTCTGCAAGGGGTTGGCCCAGACCAATATCTTCAATGCCTACGTCTCGGGCATGAAGGAAAGTCTGAACATGCAGGGCAGCGAACTGACGTACATGCAAAACGTCTTCACCGCCGGCTATGTCGTGGGTCAGCTCCCCGCCGTCATGTTGGCGACGCGAGTCCGGCCTTCCATCCTCGTGCCGACGTGCGAGGTCCTCTGGGCGGTATGCACCTTTGCCTCTGCTACAGTCACGACGGTGCCGCAGCTCTATGCCCTGCGTTTCCTCATCGGCCTCTTCGAATCCGCCTATTTCCCCTGTATCATCTACGTTATGGGGTCGTGGTATACGAAGCATGAGCGGGCGAAGCGTCTGACCTTGTTCTATGCCTCCGGGAGCATGGCGGGCATGTTCAGCGGCTATCTTCAAGCAGGAGCCTACAAGGGCTTGAATGGCAAGCTCGGCCACGAAGGTTGGCAATGGCTGTTCATTATTTGCGGCATCATCAGCCTACCCAGCGGCCTTCTTGGTTATGTCTTCCTCGCCGACTTCCCCGAAACCACACGCGCATTCTACATAACCAAGGCAGAAGCAGAGTGGGCGCGGGAGCGGCTGCGACGCGAGGGATACAAGCCTCTGGGCGCGTCCAAGTGGACGCGCACCAAAGTCTTCCGCATCATGGCCCAATGGCAGTTTTGGGTGCTACCCATCGGCTACATGATCATTCAGCAGAGCGTGCCTCAGATACAACCCATCTTCTCCCTGTGGCTCAAGGCCGAAAAGTACTCGGTGTACGATATCAACGTCCTGCCCACCGCGCAGACTGCTATCGGCGTCGTCGTGCAGCTCATCGCCGGCATGGTGTCGGATTCTCCGCTCCTGAAAGGCCGACGCGCCGAAGCCATGAGCGCGATGATACTCGGCACCTTCTTCAGTGTCATCACGCTGGCTGTATGGGATGTGTCGCACGACTTGAGGTTCGCCGCCTACTACTTGGCCTACACGGGCTCCGGCCTCGCCGGCCTATACTTTTCCTGGTTCCCCGAACTCATCCCCCACGACCACGAGATGCGAGGCTTCATGATCGCCGTCTCCAACATGTTCAGCTACATCCAGAGCATTTGGATTTCCGACGTCGTCTGGAGGACCGCCGACGCACCCCGATTCCACCGCGGCTTTATCGCAGCGTCAGTCTTTTGCGCCGCGCTAGTGCTGCTGACGATTCTCCTTCGCGTCCTGGAACTCCGCGACGTTCGGAAACGGGCTCGCCTCGCCCAGGGCGACGAGGAGGGTCCTGCGGCTGCAGCGACAACGTCGGAAGCTACGGAAACTACTCACACGCTGGAGACGGGTACTAGTCGGGAGGGTACCGAGAAACAACACCTAGGCTGAGATTTAAAAGTGTATACAAACCTCCAGTTCGTCAAAAAAGTCTATCCGATAGATTTTATTGACTAAAATAAGGGGGCATCTTAGACTAATTTTTATATAGAGAGTATCTCGTAGAACAAATCACAAGATGACATATGGGCCAGGTTGGCAACCAATCGAAGAACAAGCAATTCCACTATATTATCAAAAGCGTTACTACCCAATTAAAATTGGCGACTTCTTCAAGAATCAACATCGAATCATCGCACAGCTTGGTTATGGAGCGTACTCCACTGCTTGACTTGCCTGGGATGAGAGGTTAACACACCAGGCATCCTATAAACCTAAACTGACGCCGATTTAGATTGAAGTAGTACATCTCACTAAAGGTCTGCGTTTAAGATAATATAGAAACATCGGCAATTATCAATAAAGTCAAGATGCTATAGTGCTTGAGTAAGTTCGCTCAAGAAGCTAATCATCCAGGCTTGGACTTCACGCATCTTGCTAGTGTTGTCTTCGAGACTAATGGACCATCTAGCCTTATTATTGTATCGCGACGAAATCTCAAGAAAGTAGTCTATGCACATTACAAGAAACATCCACCAATGCAATCTTGCCAAAGATTCTAGTGAAATCTCTAATACATCATGGTTTTCTATGAATTGGCTACATACTGTCACGGGTCTCGGTCGACAGGATAGCCTAGCTACCTGGCGGGCGTGCAGGAGGGCAAAGATGGCAATTATGGATTGTATTCGCTACGTAGACCACACGCTTTATAGGCGGACTGGCGGGGTAAGGATGACAAGAAGTAGCTTGAAGAGCTACAAAGGTGATGGGGAGGCGCAAGGAAATCTTTCGCGATTAGCACAACCTCAGGAACAGCTTTCTAGCCAATGGGAGTTTTCGTGCCATGACGCGACAACTCCTATTGGCTACTTCTTCGCGCGCTACTACAACAGCTTGCACAAAAGCTTGCTGTAGCTTATAGCGTTTTACCGCAACTTGCGGATAGTTCCACGAACGGGTCCGCGGACGGTGGCTCCTACGGAGGCTCTGCAGGCAGCTTCACGGGTAGCTTTTTGAGAGCATTCAGGACCATGAGGACGCAGAAAAGAGGAGCATGGTCCGGATCTGGAGGAGAACGGCTGGATCCACGCAACACGAATTTAAGACTGTGAACCCGTGGAGGAGAGGAGCTGGATCCACGTTTCATTTACGACGTGAGGCGAGACTGTCGAGAGCAAAATCTACTCACTGGGGGTGTATTGAAATGAAGGGCAGTCTCATCCCTCTTATCCCTAGGCTGCGGAACCCATGCTCCATATCATCGTCCGTGAGATAATCGAAGACAACTCCGGGGCTTCCTTGTAAATCTCGTAACACACGGTGAGTATATCCCCGTGTCGGCGCATTACGAGAGCAAGGAACATTGCAGATACTCCGGCCAGGCAAGCCACCTTATCGAGCTTGAACTGTCTGCGCGGTTTGCAAAAAGAGTGAGCGAGGCACGATGTTTTTGAAAGTTGAGAATCCGCAAGTACGGCTGCCACCATCGGAAACATGACGCTGGCCTTCTCTTACCCCGTATGGTATTCCAAAGTTGCAAGGTGGAACTATTTCGGGACACAGGCGATATGGTGGTCAAAACAACATACTGCGAGTGAAGGGCCTCCTGAGGCATGCGGAGCTTAAAAGAACTTGGCAGCCCCAGCTCTGCATATGAGAGTGAGAGAGTCGAGGTGGTTGGGTGGAAGCATGGAAGCATGGGAGCTGCGGAAGGCCACTGCGCTCAACGCTAGATTTCCAAACCAATGGGCAAATAAGGAGCTCAGGGCAGAGAGCTCTCAAGGCAGGCATTGTCGCAATGAGGCTCTTGGTCTACACTTGCTCCTTGGTCTACTCTTGCTTAATATCCGCCGGAGTCTATGTAGGCAACCTTCCCCATCCACCTCTTCCAAACCCGAACCGCTTAGCCTCAGTAACCAGGGCTCGCTGAATTTATTACTAGTATATTCTAATTATACAGCGTAAAGCAAATAAGAAAAGCTGGATATCCTATAACCCCCGCACCGCCAGTGCCTTCTTTAACGTCTGCTGGAATCTAGACACATTTTCAGGCCCGATCATGGTATAGTGCTGTCCATCCACCTGCCAAAACTTCAGGTCATCACGGACGAAGTCTACCCAGTGGTTCAGGTGCTGTTTGCGGTATTCCACGCGATTGCTTGCCACATCCTTAAGCGGCTGGCAGTAGAACACGTCCATGTGCGAGACGTCCCCCGAAGGCTCGTACTCCCACCCAATCTTCTGCAACGACCACGATACTTCCGTCCAATTGTGGATGCCGGCCTGCGTGAGCGCCAAGTCGGCACATCGCTGCTGGTCGCTTTCGGCAAGGAGGCGGGCGACCTGCTCGTCGTGCGGCAATGGGCGCAGCTCGTGCAGGAGCTCTTCAGAACGAGCCTCGGTGATGATGCTGCAGAAATGTGCGATATGCACCATCCCCGCGGTCCAGTCGAGTCGCCGCATGCGCGTCTTGATGTGCGGCGGCAGATTGAAGGAGCCGAGGAATTGGACACGATCGCCGCCTGTCTCGAGCAGTTTGGCGATTTCAAAGGCCAGCATACTACCGTAGGAGTAGCCCGCAATGGCGTAGGGCCCTTGGGGCTGCGTAGCCTTCAGCGCGCGGTGGTACGTTGAGATGACCTCCTCTTGGCTGGTGAATGGCTGCTCGCCCTCGTTGAGGCCACGGGCGCGGAAGGCGTAGATGGGGCGGTCGGGGAAGTACTGGACCAATCCGAGGAAGACAAGCATTTCGCCGATTCCGGGATGCAGGAGGAAGAGCGGCGTCTTGTCGCCGTTCGGCTGAAGCGTTACAAGCGGATGGTAAGAAGTGTCGGTTTGTGGCCCCTGTATGCACTTTATAGCCGCTGCGAGGGTGCGAATAGTGGTGTTGGTCATGATGGTAATAATTGGAATGTCTTTGATTGCGAAAGCTTTCTCCGCCGCTCGTTTAAACCGAATGAGGTCTATCGAGGTGACGCCTATATCGAGGATGGGGGTGTCGATGTCTATTTCAAACGAAGCGACCTGGAGATCGCGGAAGACGCACATCAACTTCTGCTCCATGGCATTGCCCGGTTCGGCCACATGATCTTCTCGATATGCTTGCAGCATTTGGGCGTCGATTTCGGCTTCATCTTGATATTCCCCGTTTTGGAACGACGTCCGAACCTTTGCTCGAGACAGCTTTCCCAGAGTGGACCGCTCCAGACGACCAGGAGCCAGCGGCAACACCCGTGGTCGCGCGCCCGCAAAGAAGAGCACAGCGCGAACGACGGCCTGCAGCGCATCCATACGCGCTTTGCTGTCATATGCATCGTAATCGCGTTGATAAATGATCTGGATGTGTTCCGTGCTAGCGCCCGCCGGACGGTGGGCGAAGCACACGACTCCGGAGAGAGCCACGCCCGCAATCTCGGCCTGATCGATGGCGGTCTCCAGCTCGTGGGGGAGATACTTGACGCCGTTGACGATGACAAGGTCCTTCGACCGCCCCACAAGCCGCAGAGTCTCAGACGCGTCAATCGTGGCCGTGTCGCCCGTGCGAAACCAGCCATCGTTAGTGAATGCCTCTTGGGTCGCCTCGGCGTTATTGAAATAGCGCTGGAAGACGATGGGGCCACGAACTTCAAGGCCGTCGTTCTTAACACGCATCTCGATGCCAGGCACACACGTTCCCAGAGCCGTGAACTCGGTCCCAGTTTGTACATCAACCTCAGGACACTTCCGGCTGTATATCGCGCCGGCGCACGTTTCGGTCATGCCGAAGCCAGGCGTGAGGGTGGTCGTCGTGGGGGCACCGAGCATGCGGAGATGCGCCGAAATCTGAACGCAGACACCGACACTGTTCGGTTCACCGCCAGAAATCAGGTAGAGCAGCTCTTGGAGGTCGATTCCGCGCAGGTCGGCTGCTGGTCCAGCATCTATCAGCTGCTGCAGCTTGGCTAACATGAAGTTGGGCGCAAATGTCCTTGCAACGCGGTGCTTCGAGAGGAGGCGTAGGAAGACGAACGGGTCGGCAATCACCTCAGTTGTGGGCACATGGACTTGATCACATCCCGCAACCATGGCAGTGAGGTGGAGCTCCGTCAGGCTGCCAACATGATCAAGTCCAATCCAGTTCAATACAACGGCGCCCTGCGGCAAGGGCATATGGAGTAGCTTTCCTTTACATGCTGTCAAGATCTGCTCATGGCTCAAGCAGACTGCTTTGGCAGCGCCTGTACTTCCGGACGTGAGCATCAACGCAGCGACATCTTCCAATGAAGTGTATTCATCCGCTCGGGATCCGCCTTCCTCGTGCGTATTCTTATCAGCTTCGTTATGCTGAACGCTGCCAGCGGAACTGGCGCTTGTTCCATAGCTAGAATCAGTGTCGTTATCGGAAGTCGGCTCGTATTGGGAGGAATTTGAACTATCGTCGCCACCGTCCGAACTTGGGGCTGGCTTTGAAACAATCGATTTGAGGGAAGCCTCCGGAAGACTATTAACGTTGGCTTCGGGTGAGATATGAGCAGGGGCCACGGCGACTTCCTTGAACTCGAGCGCCTCGATGACTTCAGCCGACGCGCAAAGAAGGAGGGTGTTCTCCGCAAAATCGGTGCTCAATAGTTCCTGGGACGTGATAACGATTGGATCCAGAAGCAAGCGATGTAAATGCGCCAAGTGAGATGCGCGACCTTCATGGTTGTTGACCAATGGCGTCGACATGGCTGGAACGCAGCCCGCCAGGATGCTGGCCCAAAACCAGATTATGTTCTCCCGGTGGCTGCGGAAGTGAACCAGGACAATTCGACCAGGGACCACGCCATGGTAACGTCGAAGACAGCTGGCTCTGAGTGATGCCTCATTGCGAAGTTCACGGTAACTCAGGTATTCTGGCGGGACGTTTTCCGCAGTATAGAGGATAATGCCAGCCTGTCCGCTCGCACACTTGTCCAGCAAAGCTTCAAGCCGCGGTTCAATAGCAATGACTGACATGACAGGATGGGGCTACCTTACAGCTATCGACAGCTTGTTGAAGTTTTCGTTGAGAGGATTGTGCAGTAGAAGTGATATTAAGGCTTCGTTTAAATATTGCCAACGGAGCTAAGCAATGCTAATCTCTAAAACATGATTGAAAATACTTACAAACATCCCGTCATAGACTGCCGTAGCGGGACATAATATGGGGGTGCTTAACAATTCACGGACTCCGGAGATGTCAAGGTCGAATAGGGCTTATCAAAATCGAAGTCCGGTTGCCCAACTGATGTAGCGGAGGTCCTACCAGAATCGTCATTAGCTGAGTGTGAAGGGTTTCTGCCGGGCAACTCTGAGATCCTTCCCGAATCTACACTTCCTACTAATCCCTACGGCTTCGGAGCTCGACCTGTAGCATATATACCTATGGTGGTGGGTCACGATCCCAAAGTCGCTTTTGTTTTCGCAGCCCTTCTTCAACACTCCATACTCAATTAGCCTCCGCCTTTGAGCTCAACCGCAAAGATGGATGAGTTTAAAGATCTCAATCATTTTATTGACCAAGCTATGGCGGCGTCCTGGCCGTTATTCACGATCGCGACAATTGTGTTTGGCATGCGAACGATTTCGCGTATCTTTTTCACCGAGGCCTCTATTGGCTGGGAGGACTACATCATTTCCGTTTCATGGGTTGGTGTTCTACCTGCTTGCCAGGAGGTACGGAATGCTGATAGAACGTAGGTTTTCGACGTTGTCCGGATGGTCACTTTCCAATTAGCACTCAGCGCAACTCGTCGAGTCGATCCGTCCAATCTGCCCCAGACTGTCCCTGACGCGACCTTCTGGGGCCTGTTCACCGACGCGTGGGCTTTTCTCAGTGTCACGCTGCCAAAAGTTGGCGTGGCATTCCTCCTCATCCGGATCTTCCGACCGAAGCCTTGGGCTCGTGCGACGATCATGTCGTTGGCTCTTGGGCTCTTTGCCGTTTGCATTGCTGGCTTCTTCATCTGCTTCGTCCAGTGCAACCCGATCGCCGGACAGTGGAACCCGTACAAGTATCCAGACACGAAATGTTGGCCGCGAAATGTGCAAATCATTTATGCCCTTGTGGGGAGCTGTAAGTACGGCTGCTCGTTTCAAAGCACCATACTAAACGGGTTGCGCAGCTTCCTCGGCAGCTCTGGATCTCGGATTTGCGATCTATCCAGGCTTCATCATCTGGAATTTGCAGCTGCCGCGGTGGAAGAAGCTCAGCACGATAGGGTTCATGGGTCTGGGCATAGCGTGAGTGGTTTCATGACACTACAAGGCGCCGACTGATGGTGTCCAGGGCTTTCGCTTTTGCAGTCGTCAAAGTCTCTTCCAATGCGACCCTCCTCGGGAAGCCGACGCTGAATGAGCTGTACACGAGAGCACTCCACATCGGCCTTTGGAATAGCATCGAGAACGAGTTTGTGCTCATTGCCGCGTGTCTACCCTCGGTCCGGCCGCTGCTGAAGGCCTGCGGAGTCTTCACGCGGGCTCGCGTAAGTCACATCGCAGCGACCAAACCCTCGGTACCCAAGTCGAGCGCGGAGTCGCAGCGATCGCTCAATGGCAGTAGCAGCCATGTAGCCCTCGACAGCGAGCATGCGCTAGAGCTAGCACGGAACAAGCAGCCTTCACGGTCGATGAGCCAATCGATCCAGGTTCAATATGACTTTTCACTGCAACGCGAGCGGACCGAGCTGGGGGGGTTGAAGCTGCCAAGCTACAACTTCGAGGTAAACTGACGGAAGGAGGGCTGGTCGCGGGGAATGATTAGCGATTTCGCATTGGGATTCAGAAGACGGGCTGCAATGTACCGAACGGGTACGAGTGTATGCATGCAATACTAGAAGGATGCGACAGCGAGGTCTGCGTGTCCGAGGTCTGCGTGTCCGAGGTCTGCGTGTCCGATGCCTGCGGCTGACGGCGCTTCTGCGCCCACGGACTTTGACGTGCAGCATCAGTCAGAGTCCGTAGCTAGCGAAATCCGACAACGGCGGGCTTTCCTCGCCCCATGTAAAGAGTGCCCTCGACCTCTATAGTGCTGAGTCCACTGCCCGTGCCACGACCGGTCTTCCGTAACCGCTGGAAGATGCTTGCTGTTGGGTCGCTGATGTCCGGCGTCGCACGAGACCCGGCGGGCGGCATCGACATTGGCGATCTGGTTGGGCCGAGGAGCACAGTGATCGTCTCTGTGACGAGTCGCGTCGTGTAGAGGGCCATGAGGGCATGGCGTTGGATATCGCAGAGCAAGAAGAGATGGAGAGGCTCCATGTGCTGACGTGCAAAGAAGCCCTGTGGCCCAAGCCAGCCAGGGTGGCACGATTGGGTCGTGCGTGCGGCGAGATCCGCCTGAATGGCACGGTGGCACGCTTTGCCGCAGCATACAGGAAGACTCCGCAAGTGTCATCGAGGAACAGAGAAAGGGATGGCCCAGCCGCCTGTTTCAGTCGTTGCAATTGCGAAGCCAGCATTCACCCGTCCATCCACGGACATCAGACTCTCGTCAGCACTGGTGCGGCTGCTCCTAACCCATCCATCAACAGCGTCAAAAGACTGTCATTCCCCGCATTTTCGCAGGCCTCACTAATCTAACTTCTCCTAGAGTTTGGCCACACAGATATATCACTGCTCCGGCTCCATTCTTCCTTGCTCAACGCCACTGTAAGAAGTACCCCACCTAGCAGGCACTAGTTTCAAAAGGTGGACGAGTTATCACTGCGTTGGACTTTTAAAAGCCCATCAGCCCACAAGTATAGCCACCATGAACTATCAAGACGAGGGCGTTCCCACAGTGGCTGCGCTGCAGATCGAGAAGCGCTATGGTGAAGAGCGCGCGAAGCGACTCCGCGACGACGGCGACAGCCAGTTCGTCGACATCTCCCTCTCCGACAAATTCCATTCCTTCCTCGATGATCCATGGGTCGACGCGGCGCCCGTCAAGAACGCAAGCTCCATGTTTCCCAACAATCGCTGCCAGGTGCTCATCCTCGGCGCCGGCTGGGGAGGGTTGCTGTATGCAATTCGCATGATCGAGACCGGAGTGCGCCCCGAAGACATTCGAATCGTGGATCGCGCGGGCGGCTTCGGCGGGACCTGGTACTGGAATCGCTACCCGGGACTCAGCTGCGACATCGAGAGCTACTGCTACCTGCCACTGCTAGAAGAGACCGGCTACGTCCCACGCCACCGCTATTCCTCTGGAGAAGAGATTCGCCAATATGCCGACCTCGTCGCTCAGAAATGGGGAGTGGCCGACAGCGCTGTCTTCCAGACCAAAGCTGAGACGCTAGAGTGGGATGAAGAGTCGAAAGAGTGGCAGGTGGAGCTTGTCCAGCAGCGCCACGGAGAGCAACCCCAGACGCTGCACATCCGCGCGCCGTTTGTGGCGACGGTGAACGGCGTACTCAGCTGGCCGAAGCTGCCTGGAGTCCCAGGATTGCTGGACTACCAGGGCCATGTCTTCCACTCGTCGCGCTGGAACTACGCCCTCACTGGTGGATCGCCGGAGGACCCGTCCCTCACGAAGCTGCGAGGGAAGCGAGTGGCCATTGTAGGCACGGGGGCAACAGCTGTCCAAATCGTACCTCACCTTGCGCGCTGGGCAGAGCATTTGTACGTCGTTCAGCGCACTCCAGCGGCCGTCGATCACCGTGATCAGCGGGAGACGGATCCGGAGTGGTTTCGCAACGAAGTGGCTACAGCAGCGGCATGGCAGCGCGAGCGCTTGAGGAACTTCCACCAGCATTTCACCATTGAGAAACAGCCTTCAATCAACCTGGTAGACGACTGGTGGACCGGTGCTGTTGGGATGGTGGCCATTGCAGGTAACGCCGCGGGACCCAAGGCTATGGATGAGCTACCAGCATACATGCAGAAGCTCCATGCCATGGACCTTCCTCGCCAGCAGCGTATTCGTAAACGTGTGGAAGAGGTGGTCAAAGACCCAGTTGTCGCGAAGAAGCTGCAGGCGTGGTACCCTACGTGGTGCAAGCGTCCTACCTTCCATGACGAATATCTCTCGACTTTCAATCGCGAAAATGTCACTCTCGTCGACACGGACGGCAAGGGCCTCGACCACCTTACCAATGACTCCATTGTCGCAGGCGACGAGTCGTACCCCGTGGACGTCATCATCTATGCCACCGGATTCCGCTCACCATTCACTGGGTCCCCAGCGCAAAAAGCCAACATGACCATCATCGGCCGCAATGACGTCTCGATGAGCGAAGAGTGGGCGCGCAGCGGGCCATCGACGCAGCATGGTGTTCTCGATCACAACTTCCCCAATCTCTTCCTTTCCGGGCCATGGCAGGCCTCCAACAGCCCCAACTACCTGTTCAACGTGGACGCTCTCGCGAAGCATTCGGCATATATCCTGGCAGAAGCGAAGCGTAAAGCTGGCGGGTACCCCTTCGCTGTGACAGCCACCGCTGCCGCAGCGCAGGATTGGGGCGTGCAGGTGCTGATGCGCTCGCCGCCCATGGCTGCCATAGCGGGTTGTACGCCGAGCTATTTCAATGTCGAGGGCGGTATTGACCGCGCACCGCCCGAGATGCAAATGATCATGGCGCGATCTGGGCTTTGGGGGCATGGCATTGAGGACTTTATGAGGGTTGTCGAGGCATGGCGTGAAGAGGGCAGTATGCAGGGCATCGAGGTGTCGACGTGAGTAGATATTTGGTATTGGAGAAATTTAACACCCGCACTTACCCCTGAAGTTTGCTTGTCCATGTCGGTGAGCCTATACGAGCTCTATATCTCTTCGCTCTAAGAAATCTAACGAACTCCCTGGATCTCCCGCCGCGTCCAACTCTAAACGCCCGCTAAACTGTCTCATTCACCTCCCGACTCCCCACCTGACTCATCCGAAACCCAACGACGAATGTGCCCTCTTCCCTACCCGGCCTCACCGCATTACTCCCGACAAATACCCCACTGGACAAATTTCTATACTCACCTGTCCCCACCGCGAAACTCCGCATCATAACCGCTTGAAACTGGCCAAACTTCACTGCACCAGCCCCTGGCAGCCCGTCAATCGTCCCCAGAACCCTTTCGTTGGGAATCTCGATTCCAGTACCGGTCATCTGGAGATATGCGGCCGGCGTGTCGTTAGTTTTGACGAGCCCTTGGATGTTTAGTCGGATTACGGCGCGAGAGGGGTCAGCGAAAACGTAGTCGCCCGCGTGGAGGACGGTGCCGGTGATGGGAGTGTGGAACGGACAATGTGATGTGTTAGTAGCGAATACAAATCGTATCTGTATTATTGATGTAAGGGGGGAGCGTACGCCAGGTTCGGAGGTGAGGGTGCCGCTGATTACTTGGCCGTAGAGCATTTTTGGGTCCGTGGAGAGGTTGCCGATTGGGATCTGTGGAGGAGGGTGATGTTGTTAGTCGGCTATTGATTTGCTGGTACGAAAGGGTCTTTCCATAGGCGTTGAGGTTTGGGTTTGAGAACGGAAAGTCGATTTGGAAAATGTAATGGGAGCTAGAGGAGCTAGAGGAGCTCACGTTCTGATACACGGTCGCCTAGAGTTTGAGCCTTTAATTTCACGTGGCTCCATGGTCCAGTCAAGATCGAGTGGGTTTTGCTTACATTGAAGAGCAAGGGAGGGAATAGGTGGGGGTATGGCAACATAGCTGCGGTCGCCAAAGCGTTAGAGGTTTCGCTGTCGAACTAGAAAAACGTTTGTTCTGGTGAACACAAAGTACAAACCAAATAAGTCTGGATTATTTGACGACCTTTGAGCTACCACAGGTCTGAAATATGGGAATCATCGGTCCACGCCATCCTATCTGTCGGTCGAGAGTGAGACATCAATGCAGATCCCGCCGAAGGATCCGGTACCTGGGAAAGCTTGTGCTCACATGGCTCAGTGTTCCCTGTAACATTCATGAAGAGGGCACCTGCGTACAGTATGAGGGCTCACGCTAACTTTAGCTAAGATAAACTGACCGGTGACGGGATTTTAAACATGTTGAAGGGTACCCCGGCTAGGTCGGGCGTGCAAGATGAATGGTCCTTCCTCCCCATAATGCAGAGACCAAAGCAAGCATCGATGAAAATAATGGGGTTCAAATGCTCATACTGTAATCTCATTTCTGGAGAACTCGGGTGTGTGCTAAGTCCTCATGTGGACAAAGTTGAGTCGAGAGAAAAAACCGTATGCATATCATATATGAGAACTTTACCATCATTTTCCCACATCGATTTGACATGGAACTAAGTCTAACCTACGCTGCGAAATCCATAGAGAAGAATAGTTCCACGTTACATGACAACAAAGTGAAAGAAATATGATCATTCTATGGCTTAATTCAACTCCAACCCAATCTAAATAGAAACGTATCAATCTATCTTTCGTTCACCAAAAAAGCAATCATCTAGATTTATGCCCCACTCTCAAGCAGCCCCATCTTTCCAGCAACAAGCATCGCCAACTTCTTAATCGTCAACGTCGGGGCCAGCAAATTGTGGAACGAAATCTCCAGCACAAACTGCTTGAACAACCAGTTACGCAGCTCAGCCCCAATCATACTATCGATTCCAGCGTCCGCAATCGAAGTGGTATCGTAGTCGAAGTTCTCCGTCGGGACCATCAAGATGCTTGAGAGCTTCTTCGTGATGTACTCGCCCAGCACTTCGATAACATTGGCACCGTTGGCTTTAGCCTCCTTGACGACGCTCTTGATATCTCCACCCGAGCCGCTCGACTTCGCACCCGCACCGGCCTCGTCGATAGCGATGAGGAGGTTGGAAAAGCGGGCATCGTTGTACCAGAACGCATCCGGACTTTCTGCACTCAGATTCGCGGCAGCAGCAAGAAAACTCGGCTCTAGACCCAGAATTATCTGCGCATCGTTCACATCCTGCTTCCCAGGAACCGGTTTCGGGCGCATCATAGCCGTCTCAAAGCCCTTCAGCATCTCCTGCTCGTCGATGCCGTACATCCCCTGCCGAGATAGACTGAGCTCGATCTCTTGGTGCTGCGCGACGTAGCCGACGTCTAGGATCATGGGTAGAATTAGAGAGACGGCTGGGAGGCCTTGCTGGTTGCGATGCCAGGCGAGACCGTCGAGGAAACCGTTGCCGGCGCAGTAGTTGCTTTGGCCTGGCGTGCCTAGGGTGGCAGAAATAGAGCTAGTCATGACGAAGAAGTCGAGGGTGTGGCCTGCGAGGGCGTCGTGGAGGCACTGTGCTGCGCTGACTTTGGGGGTGATGGAGGTGAGCCATTTGTCGTAGGTCATTGTTTCCAAGATTGAGTCCTATGCAATGTTAGCATCATCTAGCCAGCACAGCTATGGCGTCGACGAGAGACATACTTGTAAAACCATAGCAGCATGCACTACGCCTCTGACGGGATGCTCAGCTGAGATAGACGAAAGGGCTCTCGCAACACCTGCGGGACTCGAAGCATCGGCACGGAACACCTCAACATGGGCGCCTCGCTTCTCAATCGACGACACAAGTTCCGCTGCTTCCGGCTTATCTGCGCCGGAGCGAGACAAGAAGGCGAATCTCTTAGCTCCTCGCTCCAACATCCATGAGGTCAGGCTTCGTCCTAGACCACCGAGACAGCCGACCAGAAGATAAGTGGCATGAGGGTTGAATCGGAGTTCGTCAGAGGGCGGTTGAAACTGCGGAAAGGTCAGCAGGCTGGATGCTATTGTGAAGTAGTGTCCCACCTTGATAGAACTTTGCCCGTAGTTGTACTTAGCGATCACACTCTCGGAGCCCTTCGCAGACTTTACAGTCCGCAGGATCTGTTCGAATAAGCCAATGTCGATGATCTCCTTCTTCTCCGTCAATAGAGCCCCCTGTCCGTTTAGCAGGCCCAATGTGCGGCTCAGCAGACAGCCAAGACCGCGCTGGTCTCGCTTGTAAAGAGCCTCAACACCGACGGACAGGAAAGCGGCGCCTCGTGTGTATGGAAGGACATCTGGTGGTTGGTCAAGTGTGGCGTCGATGAGAACGAATCGACTCGATGGTTTTGACGACCTCCATGCTTCCTGTGTTAGAAGGGAGAAGTCGTGCGCGACCACAACATCGGAGACAAGGTAACCGTCCGAATTGAGGTTGGTGCCTAGCTCCGAAGCGTGTGAGACGAGTATGATGTTTTCCAGGCTGAGTCCATGTCCCGACGCATACTCATCCTTCTCCGCTTCGCTTTCGACCACCACGTTGAGTCTAAGCCCAAGGATCTTGCTGAGCTTGGCCGCCGCCTTGACAAAGTCCCGAGGAGCGGGTAGCAGAAGAACTTGCTCGCTGTGATCGACTTTCGCTGTCACAATCAATGCGTTGACGACTTTGCATAAGCTCGGAAGGGTGGCCGCAAGATCCTCACTGTTGAAATGCTCGAAAGTATTGCAAAGATACTTTGGAACGGTTAATTTGGTCGAGAAGGCGCTGGGAGCGTAAGTAACGCATTTGCGACCGACCATTGATGAATCGAGACTAGGTGCAACGCGGAGAACTCTTCCTGTGACGACCTTCGGCGACTCAGAGCTGAATTGCTGAAGATTTTTGCTTTCGAGCTCAACTGATTCTACTAGGATCTCTAGCTCGTCTTTGCAGAGGTCCGACTGCTTGTCTTCCGAGTGGAAGACTAGTTCTCCGTTGGTAATCTTGCCATGGAGCGCCTGATCTCCAGCGAGAATGGTTTCCTGAACTGACTTAACGTTTGTGAATGCATTGTTCAAAGCCTCATTAGGATGAAGTCGGCAAGTCTGGATAGTACCGTCGTGCAGCCAGAACTCGGTATGTTTGCCGCTGTCTTTGGTAGCAACTCTCGCCAGCGTGACGGTCGATGCCTGAAGGACGTTCAGGTCTTCCGTAGTATCGAAATCGAGCAGCCCAATCTTGGCCATTGCCATCTCTGACCTGATAGCACGTAGAAAGCCCGCTACCATGGCACCTTGCGGGCATTTGCCCTCATTCACGCCGCTAGTGAGCCAGAGGATAGGGACATTGGCGGACAAAACTGATTTCAAGATCTGGAACGTGTCGGCAGTCAAAGAGGAAAGAAGAGAGCCGTAGATATCGCAGATGACAAGTTTCCCTTCTATTTCTTCGCCCAAAGTACTAAGATCTTTGGTGGGAAGACCACCGGTGATCTTTTCCATCTTCTCGTCTAACGTGTGATTGTAGACCAATGTCGCATTGGCCCAAACCGCGGCGAAGTCGATTTCGGGTTGTATCTCTGGAGCAGGTTCAGGTGTCCAACTCTTGCTCATATAGGGTTGCCGCTTCTTTGGAGTTAGAGACTCTTGTGGCAGAGCCGCAGCATATTCAACGCAGCGCAGTGACTTGATATCTAGCACAGTTTTCCCAGATGGAGTCGCAAGCCTGGTGTGAGTATTAAAATAACGGCCATCCAGCTCGTCGGTATAGGCAAGTGCCTGGCCTATCGAGTCGGCCTCTTCCTCTGGCAGCCATAATGAGACTTCTTCGATATTGATGGGAACGACACCCCACGGCATCGTCTTGTGCTGACCAGCTTGGATGGAAATGATGATAAGGTGAAGGCAGGCGTCGATTGTTGAAGGGTGCAGGATGTACCTGGACTCTCCCTTCATCAATCCGCTCTGCTTCTTGACCTGGACATCGGCGGCGGCTTCATGGAGGGTGCCATTCGTCTTGATATCCTCGAGGCCCTGAAAGCTGGGCCCGTACTCGAAGCCGACGCGGTGGAAAGCCTCATACCATGTCTTGCCGGTGACTCTTTGGGTCAGAGCTGGAAGAGAAATGTCACGGAAGCTGCCGACTGGGGGCTGAGCGCGGAAGTTGGCTGCAATTCTGCCTTCGCAATGTACGTTCCAAGTGCCCTCGACGATTGATTCCACGGTAAACGAGTACCAGGATGAGCCTTCGGACGCGTCAGATGTTGTCAATTGCTCGAGACGAAGCTGAATTTCGATCCCGTCGTCCGTGTCTGGCACAACGAGGGCGACCTTAATTGCCACGTCGCGTAAGGTGACGCTAGAGACGTCCAGACCGTTGGTCTCGCAGGTCTGCCGCAGGCCCTCGATTGCAAGAGATAGATGTCCCGCCGCAGGGAAGAGAGTCTCTCTGCCGAGAGAATGGTCCTTCAGCCAAGGGATGTCCCGGTGTCGTAGAACATTACGCCAAACTACAGAGTGGTCGGAAAGCCCTAGGACCCGGCGGCCAAGTATATCGTGGCGATTGTACTTCATGAAGCGCTGCTCTTGACTAGCCCGGGACTCAGCGAAAAATCGTCTCTCATAGTTCCATTGGTAGTGGGGAAGATCGACTAAAAGAGAGGGACTCTGGGATCGTTTCAAGGAACTCGTGTTGCTGAAGTCATCGATCTCGTTAACTCGCTCGAGGTCCACCGGGTAGTTGCGCAGGAAGAGTTCACCAGCGACCTTCAGAAGCTGGGAACTACTATCTTCCCCGCGAACAAAGCTGGGAATATACGAGAAATCCTTGAAATCCCTTGCCTTACAAATCTGCTTGAATGGCCCGGCCAGTGCTGAATGAGGACCGACTTCAACGATGCATTTCACGTCCGCCAGGTCGGGCGTGCTACCCATCTCCGTTACGGCAGAGTCGAAACGAACTCGATTTCGTAGATTGTCGCTCCAGTAGTTAGCAGACAATCCTCCCTGTATTTCCTTGCCCGTGACGGAAGAAATCATCCTCGTAAGATGGCGTCGCCAGCTGAACTCGTCCGGGTCCATGGTTTGCAATGCTTTGAACAGCGAAGCGTTGTAGAAGGGCGCTACAGCCTCCATCTGCGGGGAATGATAGGCCTTTCCAGTCCGCAATTCACGCGCAAAGACGCCTTTCTCGTCAAGACGGCTTCTGATTTCCTGGATTGACTCTGAAGTACCACTCAAAGTGACGCTGCTTGGGGAATTCTCACAGGCAATAACAGTGTCCGGTGAGCTTGAAAGATACTCCGTGGCCTCTTCCGCGCCGAGCCCGACGGCAAGCATAGTCCCAGTGGGGGCATGACGCTTGACAGTATAACCGCGGTAGAAGGCAGCGACGACTGCTTCGGGGGCTGAAATGAGACCAGCAGAGTAGGCAGCACCAATCTCGCCGCTGGAGTGTCCGAAGGAAACCACGGGCTCGATGCCCCAGCTGGCAAGGATATCAACGAGGGCAATCTGAATGGCGGTGCAAATTGGCTGGGTGATTTCGGCATCATTTATGTTGATACCGTGCATTTCTGGCGCTATCAAAGCGTCGGTGAGTGTCCAAGCCGGGGGCGATGGGATGTTTCTCAGCACTTGATCGAGATCTTTGATGGTGCTGGCGAAAGACGGGAACGTTTGCATCGCTTCAAGACCCATCTTAGCCCACTGGGCACCTTGTCCTGTAAACATGAACCCGACTTGAGGGGGCTTGCTGGTAGCCGAGCCAAATCTGAATGATGGCACAGCGAAGTCGGTGCTGAGAGTCGCATCCTTCATGATCAAGAAAGCCCGTTGAGGAAATCGAGTCCGTCGAAGGTTGAGGGTGTATGCGAGGTCTGCTGCGTAGTAGTTGCCAGCCACCGTACCATGGGCTTCGATGTTTCGAGACAATGTAGCCTTGTCATGTGCCGACATCGTCAGTAGCAATGGGCGCGATGTAGAGTGATCGTAGGCGGCCTCGGCCATAGTCTTGCCGTGTGAGTACCACGGATAGAGGTTCTCAACGCCCTCTACGATGACATGACCATTGGTACCCCCGTAGCCGAAACTGTTCACAGAAGCACGTCTCACAGCAGAGTTGGTTGGCCATGGCTTCGTTTCGTGGTGGACCTTGATGTTCCAGCCTTTTTCATCAACTTTTGAATTGTCAGAATGAGACCTTTTCCGCAGACTGGGAGAGGAACCATACTTTCAGGGTTGAGACTCTTGAAGCCAGCAACACCTGGAATCACTCCAGCCTCAGTGACTAATGCGGCCTTCATCACGGCGAAAATACCGCTGGCAGCCTCGCTGTGGCCAATGTTTGCCTTAATCTGTCCCATATCGCAACTTTAGTTTCCGGACATGTGAGTAGAAGGAGACGACATACCGCTCCGATAGCCAATGGGGCATCTTTGCTTCGTGTGTCGTTCATAGCATTAGCAACAGCTCGGACCTCGATAGGATCACCCACTGGCGTGCCAGTGCCATGAAGTTCAAAGTAGAGAGTTTTAGCAGGATCCAATCCCGCTCTCTCGTATGCAGCTCGAATAACTCGCTCTTGGCCCTTGACGCTGGGATGCGTTATGCCCATGCTTGGGACTTTACCATTTCTGTGAAAGGATGTCAGCAGTACATCGCAGCCCCGTATTCGGGCACCCGGGGTTGTAAACGAAGACTCACGTGTTGACCGCAGAGGAGCGAATTACGCCACGGACTGGATCGCCATCACGGATAGCATCAGATAGGCGTTTGAGATACAATGCTCCAGCACCTTCAGCACGGCCATAGCCATCGGCACTTGCATCGAACGTGTGGCACGTGGAGGTGGGTGAAAGAATACCAAGCTTTGCAGTGTTCATGTGCTGGTCAACTGTGATGATTAGGTTGACCCCGGCAACGATAGCGCCGTTACAATCCCTTGTTCGCAGTGCGTGACAGGCATTGTGGGTTGCGTACACAGACGAAGAGCATGCCGTGTTGATCGTGAAGCTTATTTTTACGAATCAGTTGGCTGCACAAAGGGACAATGAGATCAGCTTACCTAGGACCATTGAGGTTAAAGGCATTACCAACTCGGTTACTAATAATGCCTGGGTCCACACCAGTTGCAGCATAGTTGTGCCGAAAGTCGGTGTCGCGGATCGACATTTGCTGGTAGTCGCTAGTGAAGCTACCAACGAAGACAGCTGTGTTGGTGCCTGCAACGCTATCCAGTGGAGCCCCAGCAGATTCGAAACATTCGTAAACGACCTCAAGGATCTTCCGCTGCTGAGGATCGAGCCACATAGCCTCAATAGGCGTCATATTGAAGAAAGTGGGATCGAAATTTTCCACCTCGCCGTCAAGGAAGTAGCCGCCAAGGACGTTGAAGCTACCTGGACGCTCAAGATCCTCGTGATAGTGTGCGTCGATATTGAAGCGACTCGCCGGAACCTTTGGGGTTTGAACGGACTTCTTATTCTCTAGCACATCCCACAGGGAAGATGCTGAACGGACACCTCCAGGGAGATGGCAGGCTAGAAAAGTCAGTTTCGAAAGCTGATATACCTCGTACAGGCTGTCATCTGAAGGAACTGACCCATGCCGACAATGGCGATTGGCTCGAGGATAGAATCCTCGACGTCGAACTTGGACTCCATTCGAGGCATCTTGGCAATGATATCTATTGCAGAATAGCAATGAAGAAAGAAGACGCAAAGAGAGCCTATGTGACAAGTATCATGGGGAGAAGGAGAAAGATCTTGATGTTGAAAGTGAAGATGCAGAAATCGTTCAGCGTGGCCTTTTTTATTGCGCGGTGGAACTCTTTTATCATGTGTTATTAGCATCTCCACTAATGTGATGGCCGGCAAATGAGTTCCAGTTACGTAGTCGAGATAACGCGCCCTTCTGCTCATGCATGATCCTTTGGAAGGCTCTCAAGGGCCCTGCAGAGCTTCCAGCCGCTTCCGAGTCCCAATCAACCAGTCGGAGCTCATAGAAGGAGCATAAGTCAAAGTGTGACTCCATTCGGCGTAATTCAGAGCTGATAGAGAGGCTAGAGTTTGTCTCGGAGTTCAGATATCCATGTCATCGGTTCGGATATGAACCGTACGAGAGATGCAGGTCGTTCGCCATCAAGATATCATTGAAGATGCATTAGCGGATTTAGGATTTTCCTATATGGGCTAGTGTCATGTTCTTGAAGGTGGTGTGGCGACAGCTTGAGATGGATCGTCACGCAATCGTTGCGTGGGGTGAATTTCGCGTCGACCTCGAAGGGGCTCGCTTCAGGAACGCATCGAGGCTTTCAGAAGTCGACAGAAACTGCTATCTTAGCCGGTATAATACCTCTATCTTCCAAGTTGTCGCGCTCTCAATCTTCCTGCAAATTCGTTCATCATGAAATTTTTCACACAGTCTGCTTATTTCATTACACTTGGTGCGCTCGCAGTCGTCCTGCTCTGGGGCGTTAGTCTCTGGAATGGTACCGTCCTCGAATTAATTCGCGTGACATGGTATGGGAAATTACACGATGGCACGCCGTTCAAGACGAGCTACACTGGAATCGTACTTTTCGACTTCCCATTGTCGCTTCTCGTTGCATTCTTCTTGTACGGCACAAACGGATCAGACCCTGGATACCAACTTTTTTTGATCGATGCGTATTCCACTCTGCAGTCTGCATTTGTATGGCTATATGTTGAAGCAAGTCGCGGAGGAAAAAAACCAACCGCAGTAGAGTAGTAAGTCGGAGCTAAGGACTAGTCGTTCGGACATCAATACTGACATGGAAACAGTCCAATATTCTGGGGAGCCGCCTGGCAAGCATTCGGAGCGGCAATCTCTCTCCCGTTTTACTACTTCAATCACCTAAAATGGGTGCATGCGCAACCTCGGGGACTGAGCACGGTCGATCTGCCATCCGCACGAGCAATTCCAATCAGCTTTCTACTTGGCGCTTTTCTTCCTATGGCCATCGGCATGCTGCCTACCTGGGTCGATCGCTCTCATTGTCTGCATCAGAATATCCTGGCAGCGTGGCAGCTAGATCCGGTATGGGTCTCCACAATTCAGGTTGCAGGCGTATCCCTTTTCAAAATTACAGCTGCAAGCTCTCGGAATGTCGAAGATGATACGTTGCGCCATGTCCGGATATCGTATGTGCTGGCCGGGCTGTCATCTACGGCTGGCCATCTGTACGCTATCGGGAGAATGTTCTCAGATACAAATCCCTTGCTGAGTTTCTCAAGGGTGTATGTTCCTCGGCTGTTCGCTGGTCCCGAGGGGTCCACCGAAAAGCTTATGAATGGTCCATGGCTGTTCTTGCAATACGATCTCATCATCATCGCCTTGTCGAGTTTGTCCTGGGCTTACGTCCTCATATTTAGCTTGATGGAAGAGGGCTTTGGACGCAAGGCGCTTCCATTGGTATTCTTGCTCGGCGGACTACTTTTGGGACCTGGAGGGACAGTTTCTGCGGCCCTCTTTTGGAGGGAGGGAGAGCTGCATCGAAGGAGAGCCCTGGAGAAGCCGGGCAAGATCGGCGGGCGCAAAGCTACATAGACACGGATAGACGGCATCTTCGCCGTCCGAATATAATGAACCTGATGGAAAATGATGGGAAAGTAGTAGGTGGATGGATGGAGATTAGATTGAGAGATGGACGTTGGAATTAGAAGCAGCTAGCCTCTGAAAAACGTTTTCCCTTTTCCGAACTCCTCCGTCGTCTCCGCGCTGTGAAGCCTCTCCGATCTCTCAACAACACCAATCTTGATCAAGTCCAAAGAGCTGTCCACGAACTTCATATCGCATTAAAAGCGAAGCTGTACTATTTCGGGGTACGTAAGCGGATTCTTTCAATTCACGTCCGTCATCTATAACAGGACGACGTATCGAAACAAAACCTCACTTCATTAGCGCTATGTCACTGATAAAGAATACGACTCCACCGATGCTACAATGGCAAACTCCACTGATCAAGCACTTATGCCCACCTTTACACGGCATGGCCATGACCTATAGAATTCGACGCCTCAATCGCCGTACCCTGGCCCTGCCGTCAGCTTAGTCTATCCACCTTTCGAGGTTCTCTGTGAGTAGGCGAGGCCGCCCATTGCCAAGTGGAATGCATGAGATTTATGGCTGGTTACACCACTTAGCCCTGCTTCTACGTATAGCCTCCCATGCTTGCGCAACATGATGCCACGCTTATCATACCGCTACCGCGTCGTGCACTTCCGGCGCCACGGACCCTTGCAACATCGGACGAGCCGTCGTGTGCGTGGGCCACGTACGAGCTTCTCATTAATCGTAGAGCTACAAGGAGTCTATTCCACAATCTTTATCGTCGCATTGAGTAAATGAGCTAACAGATCTGCATGCAGGCTCTGCTCTCGACCGAAAGAATGGGACGAACGGACCGATACCACGACGTGTGGAGCTTGATGGAATGCGAGCGAAGGTTAACTCGGTCACAGCTGAAGATGAGGTTCCACACGCTCCCCGACTTTTCTTCGAAGGGTAGTTCTAATTTCCAACTCATATCATCGTTCTTCGCTTCTATTTTTCAAGTCAGCGGGTTCTAGAACGTCCAAATGGAAACAAAAGATCAAGAGTACGATGTCATCATCATTGGGGCAGGTAAGTACCACGATCATCCTGGAGGTGCTACCAAGTGCTTGACTTTGAGGACTCATTTAACATTTCGAAGGCTGGTACGGTCTTGTGGCCGCCAGAACCTATTTACGGCTCCGGCCAGAAGCCAAAGTTCTGGTGACAGATTCCGACAATACTGTTGGGGGAGTATGGAGCAGTGACAGGCTCTATCCAAACCTCGTAGCACAGGTGAAATTGGGTCTTTTCAACTATACTGATACGCCAATGCCAAGTCACGGGAAGACGCAAAAGAACCTGGTGACTGGAAACATGATCCACGACTACCTGCAGAAGTATGCTGAAGACCATGATTTATTAAGGAGGGTCCGGTTCAACTCTCATGTCGAGCGAGCTGAGAGATACAACGGCGGATGGCGTCTCCACCTCCGGAATTCAAAGGATGTCTTGGATACAAAGAAGCTGATGGTGGCAACTGGCGTAACATCGATCCCAAGTTTGCCGAGTTTTGAGGCCGAAGATATCTCCATCCCAATCCTGCACTCTCGAGACCTGGGATCCTCATCCGATAAGCTCCAAGATCCTCACGTCCAGCATGTCGTAGTCTTGGGGGCAGCAAAGTCAGCATACGACGCTGTGTACTTACTTCTCTCAATGGGCAAGAAAGTCACGTGGATAATTCGCCCCGACGGCGCCGGGCCGTTGGCCATTCTTCCCACGGAAGTCTTCGGCCTCTTCAACGTGATTGCAGTCGCATCTACCAGGCTGATGACTTTCCTCAGTCCTTCTATTTTCAACACGACTGGACCTGGGTATGGATTCTTCCAGAAGACGGTAATCGGACGGTGGTGCACGAGTAAGTTCTGGGACACTCTGACGTACCTCAGCAACCGACATGCCGGGTATTTCAAGGGCGACCATATCTCTGCGCTTTTACCTGAAATTGAAGAAAAAAGGTATGACACTTCCTCAGTCTCCCTTCCAAGTTGTTTGTGTTGACCAAGTCCAGCATTTTTTACGCAAACTCTGGGCTCGGTGTCGTCACTCTCCCAGATTACTGGTCCACCCTCCACGCCGGTGATCTCTCCGTAGTCCGTGACCACCTCACCAAAATCAAAGGCCATGACCTGATCCTGCGCTCCGGTACATCTATCAAAGCGGACACTGCCGTCATGTGCACAGGCTGGGGTGACCACTTTGCCATGTTCGACCCGGCCACGAAACTCGAGCTCGGTTTGCCTGCTTATAACATGGAGACCGAGGCAACTGATATATCGAAGGAGATGTTATGGAAGAAATGGGACGCCGAAGCCATGAAGTCGGTTGACGCGAAGCTTCCGTTTTTGGCCAAGACTCCAGACCTGAAGAACCCTAAGGTCGTGTCGCATGGCGTACCGAAACGCTGGAGATTGTATCGCCGTGTCGTGCCGCTTGACTTGGCTATGAAGAGCGATCGGTCGCTTGCCATCTTGGGCCAGATCCATACGGTGCAGACCCCCTTGGTATCGGAGATGCAGTCGTTTTGGGCCATTCTGTATCTACTAGGAGTACGTCGAGGCCTCCTGTTTTAGAACCTACTAGACTAACGCCCCACAGGAACTCGATCTCCCGGATTACGATACCATGGCCAAAGAGGTGGCGGAGTGGAATGTTTGGACTGCGAAGCGATACCTGAGTCAGGGTCAGAAGCACCCGTATTCGCTTTACGACTTCCTTCCCGTAAGCTACTCTGTCTTCGCCACTTTCCCCATGCACATAACGCTAATTTGCCATTCCTATAGTACGTAGATACTCTATGTAAAGACCTTGGCATAAACTCGCGACGCAAGGGGAGCTTTTATGGTGAGATCTTTTCTCCATATAAGCCGGAGGACTTCAATGGCTTCATTGATGAGTATCTAGAGAAGCAAGGCAAGGCGAAGCCGGCAGCTTTGAAGGCCAATGGGCTCCATTAAATGGATCGTTGATGTTGGATGACTGAAGTTCGAGACGCGTGTGGAGATGCATACTGGCTTGCATTTCTTAGTAGATTTCTTTTTGACTTGCTCGAATCATAGTAGATGGAATTTATAAGAGTCTTGCTTTCATGAATCGATTGCTGTTTGGCCTGCCCAGCCGGAGTCGTGCTCCTTGAATCCTCGTCTACGATACAAAAATGGCGGAACCTCTCCGGGGCTCATCCTTCCACCCCAATCCAGTCCCAGCGTGTGCGATCGGATTCAATTATATTTTCTGGTCGAGTACGGTGACATAGAAAACATTTTTCTCGTCGAATACGGTGGCATAGAAAACATTCTTACTACGGTCTTACTCAGTATCAATACCGCCCCAAACGAATTGGCCACCTCCCCAGTATCATTCATCATTCTCTGCCGCTTTCACATCCAAGGCAGTCACTCGCAAACGCACCACCGTTTCACCCCTGCCGAAGGACTGTGACGATTGACCCTTCATGCATGAAGAGCTCGTCGGCGCAGGTCTGCGCAATCGGATCGTGGGATGTGAGACTTGCCCAGCCCCTCTGCAATGGACGCCTTACTGAGCGGTTCCTAGTTCGGGGAGGTCGAGGTGGTGATGATGCTGCGGCTTACGCGCTGCGAAGGGCCCAAGGTTGAGTAGATAAGGCTCTTCCTGGCCCTGCTGGCGACACAAGCCTTGGGCGCTCACGGCGGCCGGCACGAACACGAACCCGACTCGCACGAGACGCTGACGGGCCCGCTTTCGTCAGGCGGGTGGCGGCTCGGAGGCGGGACGGTTCCTCCCTCTCGGAAGCCTTAGCGGGCGTGATAAGGCGCTGGGGACGACCCGGGCTGTCGGGTCTGCCGATCTCGTCGGCTCGCTGCACGTGACGTCATGGAGTTGGAGCCCCACGTTTCGTCCCGCGAGTAGATCCCACCTTCACTAGGCCAACGCCGCCGCCATGATGAGCGTGGGAGTCACCGCTGACGGTTGCGCCGTGTTGACTCCGAGAAACAGCGTGGTGCCGACGACGCTGAGCATTGCCCATTCGCCCTGCGTGAGGCTATGCGGGAGACGGGATTGCGTGAGTGTCTCCGATGGACCCTGGTTGTAGGATCTGGTTGTAGGATTCGAACGGCTCGGTGGCCGACGAAGACTGCATTCTGGGGGCTGTTTCTTTTCGATCCCGCTGTTGTTGGGTGGCAGCTGATTGCGACCATGATCCAGGGGGGGCGGGGGCGGGGGCGGGGGGTGAATTCGGCTTGGTCTTTCCATTGCACGGAAGACGACGGAGGGATACTTTCCATATCCTTCATCAGTCACCAGAAGAAGGGGTGTCCGCGTGGAGACACTCCCTCAGTCTTCTTCGATAAAGGCCGTAAAAGCGTGGTCCTATCTGCTAGCACAGTGCAGCAAACATGGCTTCTTTGAGTGATATCGAAACGAGACTTTTCTTGAACAATGAGGTATGTAGACTCCATCGCTTCTCTAGTATACTTTCGGCCACATCTTCTTCCGTCTTCATGCTTTATTCGACCAGCTCTTCCGAGGCCGCTTTTGGCGTTCTCTTATTGTGAAGTCGAAGTTGTCTTTTCGATCCAGAAGCGAAGCTGTTTGGCCAGTTACTGACTTCGCACGCTTCCACGTAGTTCGTCCAAGGCAGTTCCGGCAGGACATTTACCTTGACCAATCCCGCCACTGAAAAACCATCTGTCAGCGTCCACGAAGCAGACGCAGCAGATATCGAGGTCGCCGTCAAAGCAGCAGGTGCAGCGTGGAAACCCTGGGTGGACCTGGACGGTGAGAAATTCCTAACTCATTCCTGGGCGCTCGCATTGGACATCTGGCTGATCCTACCTGCGACCCTCAGCCTGGAAGCGTGCGGAGGCCGTCTCAACCCTCGCCAACCTCATCGTCCAGAATGCCTCCAAGTTCGCCGAGCTAGACGCCCTGTGCATGGGTACACCTGTTGCGATTTATGGATTTCAGGCCATGGCTGCCGCGGGAGTGTTGAAATGTCAGTCCTCACTATCACGGCCGAACCCCATCGAGCATGAACGAGAGCTTACGTTGGCCAAGATTACGCTGGAATTGGGGCAGACGCATCCGGCAAAACGAGTCTGAACACCGCAAATCATCTCAACTTGACGCTGAAGCAGCCGTACGGCGTCACGGCTGCTATCATCCCGTGGAATACACCGATGCTGATCGCATGTGCGGCGATTGGACCAGCTGTTATGGCCGGAAATGCTATCATCGTATGACATTCGCTCTTGCGTTAGAATCTGAACGTGGATACTAGCATCTTCCAGATCAAGTCCAGCGAAAAGGCTCCTCTATCGATGCTCTTGCTCGCAAAGCTAGTCAAAGAAAGTTCTCTATTCCCACCTGGCGTAATTCAATTCGTTTCTGGTTTCGGTGCCTCTACTGGCGCGCTCTTGTCCTCACACCCCGCGATCCGCAAGCTGGCCTTTACGGGCAGCGTGAATACTGGACGGATCATCAAGAAGCTTGCGGCGGACAGCAACATGAAGAGTGTCAGCCTGGAACTCGGCGGAAAGAGTCCACTGATCGTGTTCTCGGATGCGAACATTGAGAAGGCTGCAGCGGATGCGGCGCTCTCGATTGCCCTGCTATCGGGGCAGACTTGTATCGCATCATCTAGGTGCGTGGACAGTAGTCGTCAGGATAGACGAAAAGGGTAGCTGACCGAAGCCTTTTTTTAGGGTCTACATCCACCAGGATGCCATGGAGGCATTCAAGACGCAATTCATACCGACATTCCAGGCTATTCTGGGCAAGGCTGGTGATCCGCAGGACCCCAGCACCACTCACGGACCGCAAGCCGACAGCAACCAGTTTGGCTCTGTGATGGGATTCATTGAAGCGGCGAAGAGAGATGGCCTTGTTCCTGTCGCTGGCGGCGAAGCAGTACCTCAAGAGGGCTATTTTCTGCAGCCCACTGTCTTCATCGACCCACCCTCTGACGCAGACATCCTTCGCAAGGAGATTTTTGGACCCGTTGTCTCTCTCTCTACCTTTCTTGATGAAGAGGAAGTGCTCGCTCGCGCCAATGATACAGAGTATGGTCTATACGCCTCCGTGTATACGAAGGATATTCAGCGGGCGATTCGATTGGCTAAGCAATTGGAAAGCGGGACTGTTGCTATCAACTGCACCAGCCCTTTGATGGCGTTTGACATTGCCTTTGGCGGATATAAGTCTTCAGGTGATGGAAGGCAGTTTGGACAGGAAGGTTTGGAAGCTTGGCTTGAAGTAAGTTGGCCTCATCTCACAGCTTCGAGCGTATCTAAGGAGGTTGCTCGACGTCCTGGGGATATGTCGCTAACATCGATCAGACCAAGGGTGTTTTGATAAACCTAGTGTAGGAGTCATAATGTGGGAGGAGTCGTTTGAAGATGAGTTCGCACGGCAACGAGCATTCGCTATCGCGCTTGAGCTCTGTTGGGCCTAAGGTTAGCTATTGTCGTAACGTAATCGGCATTAAATAAAATTATACATTCGTTGAAACTTTTAACTTTTGAAAACTGGGAGTAGAGCTGAAGTTGTTGATAAAGTGATTGAACGTTTTTGAAATCTCTGCGTCCACCACGGAGCTGACCTATGCTTTAAAATGACTCCTCAGTCATCTAGAAGTACTAGTCTGTTTTCTGTATTAGATATACTCTCTGCCGGTGAGATCTGCTTTTTAGATGTTCTGGTCGTAAATGTCACGTCTTCCTTAAGCAATTTGACCTAGAAATCGTATTGGGAGAAACCTTAAGCAACTTCGAAAGCGGAAAATTACAAGTACAATTACATGCTCGGGGTTATGAGATCTACTAATTCTATTGAAAAAGCCGCCCACGATGAAGGAAAGTATGAGCTGTCATTGCTTCTCTAGTATGTACGCGGAATTTAACCTTGAGTGAAGCAGCGGTGAACGAAGGTCTCTAGTACCTAGCGATTGGCGGAAGCGACTATGCTCTAAACGGGTACAGAATGATCAGAGGCTATGCCGAAGGCCTCAAGAGAGTCGTTTTGGTTCTGTATGATCTCGCACCAAGCGCCTTGCTTTCACTTATGCGATGAAGATGGCTCCTTTGATGCAATGATCGAATTAAAGAGGGCTTTAAGTTTTGATCCTGAGCACTGGTCCGCTTCGAGAGAGCCGTGCACAGCCGATCAAAACTGCACCAGCTAACATTGAAATGCCCGAAAATATGCAGACATCTCGGAAGCCGCCGTGGTCATGGACGATCAGTTGACCTTGAATAGGCAATCCTGTAAGGCAACTGATCATCTATTAGCGATTTGTTTGAGCTTGAGGAATGAGAAAGACTTGCGCAATGGCAATGAACGCTTCATAAGTTCCAAATCTCACTCCCAGTGTAGTCACCGATCCCAATTCGGCTACACAGGGCAGTAGCATGCTGATATAGGCTCCGCTCCAGAAGCCGTAGGTAGCCGCGAACGCAAAGATTTGGGTATGTGTAGAAGAAATGAGTTCGAGAGGCAGCCAGAATGCTAAGATAGATATGGCGGAAAGGAAGGAGATTACGGTCATAACGTTGAAGCGTCCAACCTTATCCGCTAGATGTGCTGGGAATATGCGACCAGGGACAGAGCCTGCACTACCACGACGCGATCGAAGGTTAGGAATTCCAATAAAGTTTCAAGAGGGCATCTAAACTTACTTCATGACCACAATAGTGTAAATCGACAGGTACTCAGAGAAGCCATGTCGCAGCGCCATGCCTGGAAGGTAATTGAATGGAGCAAAGAGACCCCACCTGCTCAGGTCAGCCCTGTCCGGAATAGGAGCTACTTGTCTTCAATCTCGCTACGACTCGAGGGACTTACAAGACGAAAAAGCTACCCAAAGAGTAGAAAAAGAAGCCCTTCTGCAGGAACAAGGAGAAATTGATGAACGTCATGTCGTTTGAATCCCACTTTTTGGGCGGCAATCTGGCACGCACGAATACACATACCGGGATCAAACAGAGCCCCAGAAACAGTGCAGTGTATCGCAATGCTCCCGGAAAGCCTTTGTTCTCGGTCATATGGCTGACGTAAATGGGATGGATCACCCCGCCTAAAGTAATCGGTCAGGCTCAGGAACAGAGGAGCAGAATGATGAGATTCTCACCCAAACTACTGCCAGCTGCGGCGATTCCAAGAGCGAGGGCTCGCCGATGATGAAACCATTGTCCTGCGCATACAAAGGCGGGGGTAAAAATGCCTGCTGCTCCAATACCGAATCCCAGTCCCTGCGCGAGAAATACTTGGTAATATTTGGTGCAGAGACTCGTAAGCGCTATGCTGAGTACGGACAGAATGGCTGATGGAATCATGATCCCAGTTGGGCCGTAATGATCAATAATCCGCCCGTACAGTCCGCCGAGAAAGAACCTACAGGAATCAGTCTGCTGCGTCGAAGTTGGATGAAGTTGGAGAGGTCACACATAAGAAACAGCTGAACCGTGAATATCCAAGATATTATGGATGGGCTATAGTCGTTCAAGATATGTTTCTCGTAGTAGGCCTGGAAAAGACCTATTCTATGCATGGTCAGCGGAGGCGTATTGTCCGGAACGAGAGAGGAATACGCATTCAGGAATCCAAAAGAGCAGAACATAGCCATGAAAGAACCAAATATACATAGCCAACCCTGGAGGCCGCCATCGTGGTGTTCAATGTGATCATGGTGCTGGGTCGGCGGCTCGATATCAGCGCCTTGAAGTTCAAGCGAGGCTGTCCGAGAGGCAGCTTCGACGTCTTGCTGCTCCTCGTTGCCAAGTGGAAGATCGTTCTGAGAGCGTTCGTTCTTCTGCTTTTCAGAGCTGCCATCGTTGTAAGGATGGTCGCCAGAGGGCAGCGAGTAGCCACTCCCGCGATCCATGGTGTCGTGCTAGAGCTGTCGCCAGAGGGCGGTAGAAGGATGTAGTGACAGGGGCAGAAGCAGCACGAGTGGGATGCAGACATGGCGGGCGATGTGAAGCTGCAGAGCAAACGGGTATATGGCAGATGGCAAAGGGGACTGTTTTCTCGCGCGAGAGATTCGGGGAGGCGTTCTGTGTCTCGGCAGTTGGAGGGATGATTAAATATGGCACAAAGTAACGAGGACTGCGTCTCTCGCGCGATACGGTCATCGTGCCCCTCATTCCAGCCGAACACGCGGGAAACACGTCCCCAAGCGCTGCGCCGTCCTCGACAGCCGCGCTGTTCTCCACCATGCTACCGTCCGCGCAGTCTCTCCACCACCAGGTCGCACCAGATGCCGCACAACCCGTCGAGGGCCACGATGGGGACCGCATCACTCGCCGCCGTCCAACCTATACCTGTATTCGCTGTCGTGCTCGCCGCGTCAAGTGCAACCGGGCGCAGCCAGCGTGCTCGAATTGTGTAAAGGCAAATGTGCAATGTATTCCTCCGAATCAACCGACCAGCATGCTACGGCCCTCGTGTTTCCCACAGCAGGCGCGGCGCACACGGCGGCAAGAAGATAGTCGAGCCCGTTTGCAGCGACTAGAGGAGATGGTGGAACGCTTGTCGGCAGAAGTCGAACGTCACTCTTCAGGCACTCAGGGTGATGCTGGGGAAGATGATAGGGGCCAGGATCAAGTTCTAGCTTCGCCGATAGCAGGTGAACTGAGAGGGATGGTTGTGCCTGGTCCGCGGTCGAGATATTTCAGTCCATTTTCATGGGTGTCGGTATCGGAAGAAGTCCGTCGCACGCTTTCCTCCATTCCATTCTCGCGACTTATGACTCTACACTTCTCCATGAGTAGGTACTAATTGAAACCAGATTGAAGATATCCGACATCTGTTGGAACATCAGCATATCGATGCTCAAGACTCTCTCCCGATGCACCCAGGCAATACCATTCCTTCCGCGTTCCCGGCCTTAACGCCTTCAGACATATCGAGCATGCCTGCACCTAGTGAACCACTTTCTACTACCCTGGTTCAACTATATCTGACTCACGTTGACCCTCTCATCCGCATCATCCACGTCCCTTCATTTCTGGACCAACTCCACCAGCATCGACAGGCGCACCACTATCATTTCACACGCCATGTCTCAACCATGTCTCCGACCGTTTCAATGGGCGTCTCACCATTCTCCTCCAATGGACTTCAATTTTCGACAGGCACCTCGAGTCCCACAACGACCGACTCCGACCAGGATCATCGACGCACTCGAGCATTTGACGCGCTTCTCTTCGCAGCCTACTATGCGGCAGCTTCATCCACTGTCAACGATGGTGCAGCTCTGGCTTCTCTCATTGAGGCCGGATTGGATGTGAACGATCTGGCGACGAGATTCAAACGCTGTGCTGAGATCGCTTTGGACGATGCCGACTTTGTTCAGAATGAGACACTGGAATCGCTACAAGCCGTCGTACTTCTACTAGTAAGTCAGAATCCACGTTGATCACATATCACCCGGTAACACCATCTAGTCGGTAACTGCTCGTGGGTCAGACCCAAGGACACCCTGGATTCAGCTTGGCCTTGCGATTCGGATCGCCCAGGCAATGGGTATTCATAGGGATGGCTCGCACTACGGTCTGAAGCCTGTCGAGACCGAAGTCCGGCGAAGACTGTGGGCCCAGATATGTCTCCTTGATTTGAGAACTGCGGAAGAGCTAGGCTGCGAGCCCACCATTTTGGAAGGCACTTATGATACACGTCTACCTACTAGCATCTCGGATTACGAGCTGAGTCAACTTGAACTTGAAGGCTCGATCGCGAGACACCCAAATCAAGATATGCCACAGCAGCTCCCAGCTGACTCGATGCAAGGTTACACGACTACAGGCTCCTATCTAAACTCGCTTCAGTGGGGCGAGGCAAGTACTATTCCCGCGGCTACTAGGGGACGACGAGTCTCTAACACCGTCAATTCATCTCCTTCTACATTCTCAGATATGACATTTTCATTAATTCGATACGAGGCCGCCAGGCTATTCGGAAAACTCCTCTCTCCAAAATACCAATTGGACGACTCGACCTTCGACAGCGCATCAAACAGCGCTCGGATAAATGGCAACGGAGCCAGTCAAGATAAGAACGTATGGGTGAACCAGCTGGAAAGAAAATTCACGCAAGTGTACAACGTGCAGATGTTGGACGATTCCGATCCAATGCAACGCATGACGGCCGAGCTTTCCAAGCTGCTCATAAGCAAGGCAAGGCTTCTCGTAAGTCTTCAAGAATGGAAAGATTCATGTCGTGAAATGCCGAGATCAGATCGCGAAGGGAAGCGAGATAGGTATTGAGGTCCTCCAACTCAACAATCACCCAAACTGAATGATGACAGACTATTCAACGACGCAACCGCGATCATAGACCAGACTATCACCCTTGCGGAGGAGTCCACACATTCGAACTGGCTGTGGTACGTGAACACTTTTACCGAAGTGTATGCTTCAACCTTTGTTGTCTTCAACCTTGCCCAGGGAGGAGTGTCGCCCGAGTGTGCCGACAGAGCCTGGCGGGCAATTGACCGCCTCTTCCCGACCACCGAGATGCAAATGGATGGTGGCCAGTTGTCGCCTTTCCAGAGGCTCCTTGCGCTAGCGAGAGCGAGACACCGCGATCGGACTCTCTCAAGAGTCAATAACGTAGGTGCAGCAAACGAAGGCCTAGCGGAGGGGTTTGTGGGAGATCCCGTCGAGGGGCAGCCACTGTGGACGTCTGATCTCCTTAGAGAGCTGGATTTAACGCTCGCGGATCCATTTTGGCTCAATCCATACGCGGGCGAGACGATACCAAATAATGCGTTCTTCTATAGCTAGATATACTAAGTCTTCTATTATTTCAAGGTTAGCTATATCATATGATGCCACTACTTAGACATAACGGATTCTAGTATAACTATCGATAAACCGAAGACCCAGCCCCTGTTCCCTTCCCTGTCGAAATAGCAGAACAATCCATCTAAGCCGGGCTAGACATCCTATATCCACACATATACTCGTCCAGACAAAACGCCCCTGGACCTGTAATCGCCGTGGCTAGCTGAACTATCATACCACCAAACGATTACGCCGGAAGATTCAGGCCCCTTAAAAACTCCTCCATCTCCCGCTGTCACGCCTGCGTTGAAGTTGGCGGTATCCCATTCGCCAGTCCCTCGGTTACTCCGGGAGCGTCGTGCAGATATCTAAGAAATGTAGATGACGAAGAGGCATTGCTAGAGTTGCTGGATGGAGTTAAAACTCTGTCGATTTAGGAAGTGGAGAGAAGGGCTTACCTTGAGCTGTTTTGGGTTTCTGGGCCGTTTGATTGGGCTTGGGCGTCTGGGGCCGGCATGGCTAGGCTTGGGGTCCTGGCGTTGCTGAAGGCCGGATTTCTTTGGGTCAGGGAATCGAGCTCGATCCACTAGAGCTACCGGAAGGGTTTGCGTTTTGGGAATGGCAATGTACAATACCAGAGTTTCAGGTCGGACTGGATGTTAGTTCGATCCCAAACGGGATTCATGGCCCTTATGTGGATGGTTTCCATCATTTCGCAATTCGCGAGCTCGTTCGTCTTGAGACCACGCACACCCAAGCTTTCAGCTCGATATACTCGAGACTTAATATTGCACGCACGCGCAGCGCGTTCGCGATGACTTGGTGCGCAGCTGCGAGTTTGTGGCCGATTGGTTAAGGAAGCGACCGAACAGGGCGTGAGGCTCTGTTAACGCGCATGTGCGCGCGAGCAACTTTCGCGCAGATGCGAACTGGATGCCTTCTTGGCGCCAGGTAGAACACTCACTCCCATAGGTCTCTTTCCGTTGTCATTTCCCATTTTCCTGTTCCTCAGATCACGCATGATCAACTCCACCTCTGCTTTAAGTCTGTCTACTTGTGCTCTACGATAAGCCTACTCTTCTGTTCCAAGGCTGAGTAGTGGCAAGGCTGAGGCCTCAGTGAGAAACCCACAAGAGTAACATTGACTCAAACCTTTGAAACCGGACCCAGAAGGTGGTACTACTCCCAGTATTGTTTCGGTCTTCACCAAACGACATCGTGGAAATGGATTCGCCCACAAGCATGGACGTGTATACTCGGGTTGTAACAGCTACAACCTAGGATCAACAACTCATACGGTTCACGGTCACCTACGTACAGGCACTCCCCCCTTTCTCTCTCCTTAATTCTCGTTCTTCTTCATTGATTGGTTGCTACTAACGCGCACTCAGCGTGGCGAGGTCCTCTGTTCAGCTACAACAGGTTTCTCTCAGCTAGGTTCGTTCCTTTCAGCTGGCCTCTATTCAGCTGAGCTGATAAGACCTAGGGCGTGGGCCATTTCCTATTAGTATATATTCGGCCCGTACGGCCACTACAATACAAGCAGAGTTCACATCAATTTCAACCTGAGTTGTGTTCTCTGCCCTCGGCAGCCCATGCTCCGGACAACGAACAACTAGTCTCTGCTCTACTAGATGAATGCGACTCGAGAAAACCCTTGGACGGTAACAGCAACTTGAACCCTCCGAGCAGGAAAAACAAAAACCGATTCAGTACGCCTCGGCGGTTCGCATGCCCGTATTACAAGAGAAATCCAAATCGGCACTCAACCAGGCGGTCTTGTAAATTGGTGGGTTTTACCAGCATGTTAGACGTCAAGTTAGTCGCTGCTAGTACCCTTTTAGCCCATAGTGTGTATTGACGAACCAGAGAACATACATATCGTTATCACGCCTTGCCAATATCATGCCCACGGTGCTGCAGGATCTTCAACGGTGACAACGATCTATTGGATCACTTGCAAACTCCCGAAGTCTGTCGACGTTATGACAATCCTCAGTTGGAGGGCTTCACTCGAGAACAAGAGGCGATGTTGAAGAGCAAGAAAAAATCATCTGCAGAAACGGAAGAACAGAAATGGAAAGCCGGTTACAAGATTCTTTTCCCACAAGACCAAGACGATGACATTCCAAGCCCGTGTAAGTGATATGTACCCATACGCAACCCTGTCACCTTGCCAGCATTGACGCGTTGGTAGACTATGATTACAATTCTCCCACAGAGAGGTTGCCAGACGAAGCAAATTTTGCAAAGTACCAAGAGTACTTGAACAGAGAGCTTCCTAGCTATGTACGAAAGCGACTGCATGATACCCTCGACCAGGATCTCGGTCCCATGGAAGAAATCCTCAAACTTCAACTTGTCGACATTGTTCGCTCATGCCAAAAAGAGCTCTTCTCATCGTATCAGCAATCCTGTCAGGATGACCCTGTCGTAAACTCTACTAGAAGAAGTATAGTAAAGCTGACGAAGACAACCGACGAGAAAGAAGCAGAATCAAAAGACGGGCCAGAAATTTGGCCAAGCCAGCAGGCCAATGCTGACGACCTGGTCGCAACCTCTACTAGCGTTCACTCGTTACAATCAAGGATGAAGAATGACTAGAAAGAACCTGGATCAAAAGCTGGGGTAGAAGTTTGGGTTGATCAACACTTGCCTCAGATCCTGTCCGAGTCTTCAGCATCAGCGAACTTGGTAGAATCAAGGATAAGAATTGACGAGATGGACCAAAAGCCTGGGTAGAGAGTTGGGTTGAGCAACTCTTGCCTCAGGTCCTGTCCGAATCGTCGTTATCGAACGAGTTGCGGCCCTTGTTCGATCAGCAGCACATCTCCTCGGAAAGTGCCAAGCCCATCGGCTCGACAACAGCAGCTCCAACTATTGCCTATTCCGATTCAGCATACGGCTCACTGCTACTAAAAGGCTCTAGCAGTGTTTATGAAGGACTGCAAGTTGCCATGAAAGAACGTGCACCCTTAAAGGGCTACTTCGAGCTTCGAAGTGAAAAGAAAGGCAAATATGTTGGCTGGCAGACGGAGAACGCTGATTCGCCGCCGGCTTGGTCTGCGTGCAGCCCGAGTTGGGACATCAGCGGGGACACATTTACGACGGAACCATGTCAGAGTACTAACAGGCCTTTGAATAGCGTGGAAACAGATATGAACCTACGATTTCTTAATGACTTTCCAGATCCGCAGCCTGAGTTCCGCGATGGCACCGGCGAGTACCTCGACATTCGTTTCCAATTCAATCGCCGTCTCGATGAGAGTGACATTATGAAGAGCACCGAGCGTTTGAGGAAGCTGATCGTCGATCCTGACTTGCCAGTTAGACACATCTCCTTGAAAAAAAAGTCTTCCTTGGTAGGAGACGTCGTGTTGCACTGGCGGAAGCCGGTCGCGAATAGGAGAGCATTGAGTGGTCAGAAAATGCGACATACGTCGGTATCATCACCTGTCGCCGAAATGGAAAATGAGGCAACACCAAAATCACGCCTGTATCATTCTTCGACAATTCGTTCCTCCAATTTGGTGAGCGAATCCGATCATGTAGGCTTGCTACCGGTGTCTGGAGCTCGGCCTTGCAGCGTACGAAAAGAGATTCCGGATGAGAGCGATGACAAAATGTTCGAAGAAGATAGAACTATCAGCCAGGAGTCGATCCTCAAACTCCTTCAAGTGATCAAACACACGGAGGGCCCTTATCTCCAACCAGATCTCGCAGTGAACGGGGTGACAGCTCGGACGAGAGCGCAGACGACAGCTCGGATGACGACACTACTAGAAACTCTTCAAGTGAGCTCTCGTCATTGCCGATGAAGTCACGAACTCTCCTTCCTGGGAGAGTTATGACAGAGTTCTTTGTAATCTTTGGGGCGATGCAGGGCCGGCGAACGCATGCCAATAACAAGACACCGACAAATCGACAAGCAGGAAACACTACTTCAGAATCTCCAACGTCCCAGAAGGCTAGCAATTCCAAGAAACGTACGCACAGTGACCGAGAATCAGAACATCCAAATGACAACGACGATGATGAGAGTCCTAGAAAGCGCCCAAAATTTGGCTCAGAAGTCCCCGATCGCTCATCTACCTTAGCATCAGGTTTGCTTGTCCTTACTACAAACGGAATCCCAGTCGTTTCCTGGGAAATATTGCCTGCAATGTCGCTTGCGTGTTTCCAGGGCGAGGCGCAGGATTCGAGAATGTGTCACGCGTGAAGTAAGAGCCCTCAGTAAGCTGGGCTTGAGCCACTCTACTAATTAGTAAACCTTTATGGAACATATATATCGCTCTCACAAACCACCCAAGTCATGTGCTCGGTGTTGCGAGGTATTTTCGAGCAAAGATAGGTTACAGGCGCACTCAAGACAGGATCCCGCCTGTGAGGTTCGAGAATTACACGTAACCCAAGTGGAAGGTTTCACCAAAAAGCAAGAGAAGGAACTCGAGAAAAAGACGTGTCTCTCAGGACCTGCGGCGGAGCTAGACAAGTGGATAGTGGTGTATAGGATACTATTCCCTGATGTTCCAAGGGAAGATATTCCAAACCCTCGTAAGTCTTACCCTCTCCTACGTTTCACCACCATCAACAAGAGCGTCAGTATACTTGCAGCGCCGTCAGACCACGGCGGTGCCTACAGTAGGATCCGTTACCTTGAAATCACCAAGCTCACACACTACCAGATTATGACCTATCAGCTGTGTAACGATATGATCAGTAGTCTCTCCCCAGCGTCCGATAAGTTCGAAAAATTTGAGGAGTTCTCAGAAAGAGAGTTTTCACGGCTCTTTCGAGCGCAGCTTGAAGCGACTGTTCACCCAGAGATTCAAGACCTTAGGGAGTCTGTTGTCCACAAGATGATTGATATTGCCTGAAGAGCTATGGGTCAACTTTTCACCGCGTATCAACGATTGCCACCTACCACCTCCGCATCCACGGAACGAACCATTACAAACACTCGGGGCCAACGGACTCAGCCGCGCGAGTCGCCCGTTGATTCGATAAACGATAGCTCGTCCCGGCGCTTCATGCCTCCACCACCAGCAAGCCGATATCTTCCCGAGTCAACTTTGCCATGCCCCTTTCAAGCCAACACCACTCGGAATACCCCAACGTCAGGCACTGCCTCTACCGAGGCTTCTACTCCTGGATACAATTATGTAGCACCCAACTCGTCGATCATCCAAGCATCCCCACGGGCGAATGCCACTAATGAAGAAGCATCCATTCATACCGAGAATACTGTCACGCTGGAGAACGCTTCCAAGAATTGCGGAGATCGTGAACCAGACCCCAATCAAAGTCAATTGGACCCAAGGGATCCCATCCATACTTCAATTTACAACGATCAGATAAATGGACAACGACTATCTCCCAGTGATATGTCGCCACTTCCGAGCTCATTTGATCTGGCTAATACCTTCAAAGAGGCGCAAGTCGGCACAGAGCCAAGTCAGAACTCGAACGACGCTCACAGTCTAGATCAACAGCTGTTCCACCTAGAGCCTTTTAACGATACGACACCCTTCGCAGACCTCCTAAGCGGTCCATCTTTGGACTGGGAATCTTTCCTACGCAATGAACATGGCACTCTGGTATCACCTCCGCCAGTGGATCTGTATGGATTAGAGGGCTCCGATAACCGTAATGGCCAGTCGGGTAGTCATCCCAGATAGTATAGCATGCTCCAAGCGCCCTCAAGGAAACCTTCGTAGTTGCGATATCCAATGAAATGATTCACGGGAACTGCCTTCTTAGGTTTCACGCCTGTTCTCGAAGGCAAGAGGAGTTGATGTCCTGGCAACTCACAATGCGATTCACGTTTTGACTTTGCTTGTACTGGCCATCTGCTATCTACGTGATATTCTTTCGATCTGGATATTTGTTGTATGGACCAATGGTTTTACGGGGAATGTCACGCAAGACCTGACGGACGTTGCATTGCAGTGTCTCCTTGCATTAGAGGTTAGTATTCTCCCATTACCTCTTTATACGTACTGACTCGTTATCAAGCTTATGTTTCTCTGTCAAGTCTTTAATCAGCTTTACCCTGTCAATAGAGTCGTTGGACCACTACTCTTCGCAACGACGGTAGTTGTTGGAGGTTTCCGCATCTGGGTCTGCGGTCCGGCTTACATAAGAAAGAATTGGCGTAGTTATGACTTGGTGAGCGTCTTGGAGAGCTATCTCAACTGACAGCGTCGGATTCGTCTCCTAAGATTGACCGCAATTTCAACTTTCGGTTGAGGGCTTTATTGACGCAGGCTGCTGACGGAAAGCCTCATCATATCTGCGAATTCTTTGCAAGCACAACAAACGTAACTAATGGACATTCCTAAAGAGAATAGAGAGAATGCGCAACAAACTAGGAAGGCTATATATACGGCTACATAAACGGAAGCAATAAACCTAGAAATATAAGCGGAAGTTTTAGAGTATTAGACCTTAATAAATTCCCAGGCAAGCCCACCATCGCCGCCATCGCCAATCTTCGCCAGCTTCTCCACCCCATGCTCCCTCTTAATCCCCACGTGTCAAAGCCTCTCCCAATGCGTCATCAGGATAACGTAAGCTCTCTCGGGGTTCGATTTAACGTATAAGTTTTTCCACACAAGTTGCCGCTGAGCCTCGCAACGCAAATTCCCTGCGAAATCGTGTCTAAGGCAGCAACCTAAGACGGTACTCGGGAAACCGAGCCAGCCCTTGGTTTCCACCCATACCCAGTGCAGCATCTTCCTTCGTCCGGTGACCTAGCGTGGAAACTGAGTCGACCCCTGTAAACCTCCTTTTCCGGGCTAATAAAGAGCGGACGTGAAGATTCATTGGCTAGGGAGCTGTTATTCCCCGCTAAAGGCGTCCAGAATCGCTACCTCATACGGTAATTATTTGGCTTGATTTCCGCGCTAGGTCACCGGACGCAGAGAGATGCTGTACAACCGGCGTGGAGCTTTTCATGACGCCAGCAAGCCTAGAACAGCTATTCTACGGCGTTGACCCCCCTGTCGCAAGTTTGGATTGAGAAACAGGGAGGTGGATTCGTGAAAAAGCGATAAAGTGGGTTTGAATTTGGCAGTTACTCCTCCAATTTACAACATCTAGTCGAGTACATAGCTTAATACACTTGATATCAGACTATCGTCACGAAGACCCTCAAAGCTCGGCTGGTCCTTCAAGCCGCTCCAGACAGCGCCATCCAACGTCTCAAACTCTCACAAGTGGAATCCGATCCGCGCCCCTTACTAAGGTGCTCATAGAATCTCCACAGCATCGTGAAACACACCCTTTTCCTCTTCATCATCTGCGTCGTCCCCAAGGTCGTCCAACGTTGTCGCAAAAGGTCTTTCTAGCTTCTTCAATATCCCGGGCAACTCGTTGACATCTTTCCGAAGCCGCAAGTAATCCATCGGCGAGAAACCATCATTATCCACCGCATGGACTTGTGAACTGTCAACTCTATGATTAATCAAGAGCTCCCAAATTCTTGAATTGGTAACCTTTGCCGCAAGATGCAGTATGTTGATCCCGCTATCATGGTCGACGTTCACCTTAGCTCCTTTCTCGAGAAGAACATGAAGTGTTTCGTACGCATTCACCTTGACGGCCTTTTCAACTGCGGTCCTTCCCCAATGCAAACACTTCTCTTCAATATTCATACCCAGATCACAAAGAACCGCTGCAGGGGGCATTGCCTAAGCTTGCAGAAACCAAGGCGGTCTCGCCAACTCCATTCCGGACGTCGAGCTCAGCGCCTGCCTTAAATAGAAGCAACATGATCTCAGGATGGTCTCGCATAGCTGCGTTGTGCAAAGGCGTACTACCCCAGATATCGCCCCGCCGAATGTCCGCTCCGGCTGATATGAGGGTTGTCGCGACATCTAAGAAACCGAGCCCTGCCGCTAGACTCAGCGGTGTTTTGCCGTTTCGGTCTTGAATCTCCGGATTTGCGCCACAGCGAAGCAGATGATAAGCAACCTCGGCCTTCCCTTGACCAACTGCCCAGTGCAGGGCCGTACGACCGCGAGAATCAATTTCGTTAATACAATCTCGTGATTGGCAAATTACACGGTCGAGGTCTACTATCGTCAAGCCCAGGACGGCTTTGTGGAGCTGAGAAGAGGAGTCGAAGTCTTCCGGAGAGAAGTTCAGGGCGGCCGAGTGCCAGAAGTCTTCCGCGAACCCTAGAAGATCTCTGATCAACTCCGATGTCGAGATTGACGATAGATATTGGTAGTAGCGGTTCTAAAAGAGCTTAATGTCGCTAACACGGCCGTGGATAATAGACATGTCACGAGTTCCTCCCATCAGTCTGAGGAAGTCGCTTACTTCCTGCCGCCCAAAACTCTGGGCGAGGGCGAACACAGACATACCATACGGCCCTACAATGTCCATCGAAGACGCCGCACCGATACTAATGAGCTCTTTGACTCGAGTGCAATCTCCTTGCCGTACACTTATAGCGATCTCGGAGTCTGGAGGCACTATTCTGGGAAAAGACAAGGTTATCCGTGGCGAAGGCCCGCTCAACAAAACCAGTCCGACAGCCCGTGCAAGAAGCCATCGAGGGAAGTAATACACAATCGATAGTACAGATTCTGACTTCCATCGACATTGAAACCTATCGCAGGTGGAAGCTGAAGGGTTTAGAGGATTTCCGATGACGTTGACGTAGAGCGACCCGAAGGAGCCGTGCCATTGACTGACTTCGAGCCGTGTTCGACGATGACAGCGGCATTCGCAGAACCTGGGACAAGAAAGGTGACGCTCTGAAGAAATTTGGCTTCCGACGATGCTCGAGGATACGCTTTCACCTAAGCGCAGTTGACTGCTTGCCAGTAATAGCTTCTGCGACTGACTGACGGCGTGATACAACTTGGGTTTCTCTAGACGGACATCAATCTTCGACACCATCTCGGATATAGCACCTTATACCTCTACCACAATCCTGTGCAGCGCACTCTGAATTCCCGCCCGATCAGACTCGAAAATTTTAGCGCATTCTCCAATCTGCGGCACCGTAACAGCAATTTGCCTCTGCAACGACAAGCTGGACGCAACTAACTGCAACGACAACAGCGCCTTCGCATCCCTCAGCTTCTGCAGCAGCCGCACAACCTCGGCCTTCTTCCTCACCCAGCTTGCCCTCCTAACCTTCATCTCGCCCACACCACCCACCCCTCCCACTACCGGCTTAAGGCACTTGGTCTGAATTAACTCCTTAATCTGCCCTAAGAGACGATTACAGGACCCTAAGAGCTGCAACAAGATGGGCAGTTCTGTCGCCGGGAAGATGGCTGTGCTCGACTCCAGCCTCGCCAGGACCTGCCGCAGATCTAGCACTTCGTCAACAAGGTCCCGGACCTCTTCTGGCGCGACGAGATAGGGCTTTATGGTTGACGACAGAATAACGATGCGGTCGACGGCTTGGCCGAGAGAGATAACGCTTGCGATGATGGTTAGAGGGTCCATGTCTCATCACAAGTCACGCAACACTGGCTGGCGAGCTTCGATGAGCCTCTAAGGGTGTCAGAGTATTCCGTTAGAGGGTCAGCTTCGCGTCCTCTACATAGACATTTCTTTAATAAAAAAGAAATCAGAGCTGATTCGATAGGGTCTTGGCAGGGTTAGAAACTCGTTAAAACTCACCAGGTATTATTGACAGATCTCTGATCTAGTGTTGTAAACCTTCAGATTTGCATGCCCCTACACAAGGATTGGGCTTTGGCCGACTTTTCTATTCTACCATTGCGCGGGGAGGGCACTCAGCTGAAGCGAAGTGTTGATTTTGGGCACCAAGAGGGGTTCGAGGTCGGTTGCATGGTGTTTGCCTTTTGGCCGCCTCATTCTGAGGCAGTTCCCCATCATTTGGGCATAGGGCCGCGTTGAATGGACCCGACAAAGCGTCTCCAATGGTCGTCGTAATCCAGAAACTTCGTTCTTATTAGTAGAACAGCTGCATGGTACCGATGGGGATCCCGTATGGGCCGGAAATAGTCACCGGTAGCGATTGCAGACGTACGGGATGAGGAGATGGAGAACGCCGTCGGCCATCTAAATGCAGCTCGTGGTCTGGAAGCTGAGCTCGAGAAGGCTGAAGCATGCATGCTGTGCAAATATGTGGGATGCGGCGAAAAGACCCCAGATTTACAAGGAGTCGCATCGTATGCCGATCCATGTATTCGAGCCCAAGTTCCCAAGTATTCTCGAAGTTTTCTTATCGTCATATTCAGTTCCTCGTTAAACTTATAGCCCAGTCATCTCCAAATCAGGCCATAGCCACGAACACTCTAACAACCACCATAATCCTTCAAGCCTCTCCAGCAGCCTCACCGAACGCCGCAAGCTCTTAGGCCAGCTTCCTGACTTCCACCCTCTGTTCAAGCTTTTGTACGCGTCCGATCTTTAATCTATATTCCATTAAGCTCCCTCGCGCTTATCTTCTCTCTCAACGTCCAACCCAGTCTTCTCAGCCTTGCATATTTGCATCAGTAGCTAGCAATCTTCGATGCATTTTCATTGAGATTAGAACCGCTGAAACATCACCTCGATTTGCAGCCTCCGGCATAACGCATGTGGAAAACACGCTGGACTTTAGGCCACCTGGATATTTGCTGTATGGGCCAATGGTAAAAGTGAACGTCATTGTTGAGCACGCAGTATTTGCTACAGTTTGGCCAAGGGCTGACGTTGAGGTCGTTGATAGCTCCTCTCGCTAGCGCTAGCAGGCGGGAGATGCGGTGGGGATGCGGCGATGCGGAGAGCGTGGCGCCAGGCTCCTATTTCGTCTCGAGCCTCTCTTCTGTCCACTCCCACTTCATCTCAGTGTCGAAATTCAACGGCCCGTCCACTGCTTAAACACTGAGGCGAAGAATGAGACCTCCGAGCGCCTGCCCTGTAAGCATTATCAGTTCAGAAGCCGAGCCTGCTGGAGGATCTCCGGCCTCAACGATGGCATCTTCCAAGCTGTATGAAACATGGCCCATCCATCCCGGAAGAATGGAAATCGGATTACTCGAGTTTCGACCGCCTTTCTCCGATGCTCTGAATTGCGCGCTCTCTGTCGTGACCCTCAAAAACGGGCCTCCGCCGTTCATTGCACTCTCATACGAATGGGGCACCGACGACTCCAACCATGTCATGTCTGTCGACGGCCACGACATCAGCATACGACACAACTTGTGGCTGGCATTAGAAACTATCATGAAGCATCATCCAAGGCTTGTGGAGGATTGTCGAAATCATCACCAGCGACTCCGTCAAGAGTTGCAAAATGTAGGCATTGCATCCAGCACCTGCCTTTCTTCCTGCTATTTAATTCATCCATCTGGCTTCACAGATCCACTGCGAGTGGGGTGTTCCAGACGTAGCCCACCCCACAGACTCCCTATTCATATGGGCCGACGCCCGTCTGCATATATTCCTATAGAACCGCAATGAACCACCTCGGAACCTTAGGGTTTGCACCTCAGATATTTGAGGGGTTTCATTTTACGTATTTGGCTAGTCAGACTAGGCAATACATTCTTCTGTGCTCTCAAATTAGCTCGGAGTGCACGATTTCATGAGATTATGTTTGTTTCTCGTGCCCTACATATGCAACAAACAGGAAGCTCGCAGCACCACTTAGGATCATCCATCAAAACCCATCAGCCCCATACTTGACTACTATCATCAATCCCTTCAAACACGGCTTCCCCGCCTTACTTTGCACTTCCAATTTAAGCACCTTCTCCTCATCCAACTCATCAGCTTTCTCCATCCCAAATGTCTGCCACCTGCCAGTCTACCCTAGCAACTCCATAACAGTCAGCGCTTTCTTATTCCCATTGTCATCCTTGGTCCCATTCCACACAAACTCGGGCGGATCGCCGTGCTCGTTCGTGCCCCCCTCAGCAGCAGAGGCGGGTTTCGCGATCTCGGTAGCGACAAGAACAGTGTGACTCGTTATCTTCCTGCCGCGGGCCAGAAGGGTACGCGCGAGCCGAAGTCCTTCAGCTTCAGTGTATATGGCTGCGAGGGCGAGGCTTTGAGCGCGCGATTCATCTCGCGGAAGTCGTAGGGGTATTCAAATTTCACGTCAATCAAGGCTTGCATATTTCCCTTGTTCTGCGCAGAAACGTAGTCGCGGACGGATTTCGTCGCGTTGTCGCGCGTCTGAAATTTCTTTTGGCTCGCAGGACGTGTATCGCACATGCATGATGACATCGCTGATGGTGGAGTAGTCGAGCTGCGGCATTGGGGAGGGGATTGCGCCGGCGCCTTCAAATGGAGCGTACGTGTCGCCGCTGTAGCTGAGTTCGAAGGTTTCTGTGTCGGCTTGTCCGTGGGATGTGGCGATGCCTTTGATTGGGATGTTGTCAAACGGTAGTGCGTCGATCTGTGCGGAGCCACCGGATGGCATCTCCTTCGTACGAATGGAGTGCTTGTCGAGATCGAGCGTGCAATTGATCCCCGTATACGGACCCGTAATGCACGGAATAGACAACGCGACGGACTTCATGCGGCACATGTCCTGGCCTGGAAAATCCGCGTCAAAAACAACCTCTGGAAGGTGGAGTTTGGCTTTGCCCAATGATCTGAATTCCAGCAGGCATTTGGAACCTGTCTAGCCCGATTACCCAGGCGTCGGTCCATTTTAGATCATTCTCGCCCACGCCGTATTGACTAGGTTCCGCATCGAGTGGACGCCATTGATACCATGTCCTACCTCCATCGCGTTAGCTTTGAGCCACAATGTGAGCCACAATGGCACTAGCCTGCAGGCGATGATATTGGACGGAGCAAAGACGTCGCGATACTTCGTAGGGGGTCCCGACTCATGGGGGCGCCGCGCAATGCGGGCTCCTAATAGTCTAACTTGATCGGATTGAGTATGCAGTTAGGTGTTTTCAGCACTAAGAAGGCGCTGGAATTCGGGTACTGTCTCTGCAACTATCATAGCGGTGGGCATGTGATTCGTTCTAGGTTGTTCTGGGCAATGGTTGGATCAATTTGGATATACTGTATCTTTACTACGTTCCCCTCTCCCACAGGAAAGCCGTAAACCTAGCTCACCAGTGTGTCGTGACTGCTTCGTGGCTCATAGGCTATGGAGACATCTAGTCCTCGGGAAGCGGTCTATTGGTTTACTTGATAGAACAAGAGCTGAAACAGAGGTGTTGAAGTATTCATGTACTCTTTTCGCTATCTATTCGAAGAATGCCCAACGTGGCCGAAAGAAAAGACCAGCTTCAGAGCTTCCGGCGAGGGCGGTGGGCGCTTCGGGCGGCCCGGAAGCGGCCCTCCCGCTCCCGTCCCCGTCTCAGGTCAGCTACGCCACAGGATGCGCCCTAGGGGAAGAACGCCAGCCTCGCCCAAGCCGCATGCAAGACCGTAGCTGACATAGCCTTAGACGCGGAGCGTTGCTGCTGAAAACCCCATTCGGACGGGTCTTTCTCTTCGCAACCGCCAATCAGACAGCCGTGATCCTCTCGCTTTGAGAGAAGTGGTGCGCAGTATCTCCGCCTGTTCGCATCAGACTTTCGCCATGAGCCACTACAGCAGAACCCGCTTATTACCGCGAAATCCGCTTATTGCAGTAAGCCTGTTTAGCAGAGCGGAACTGCAGTTCAGACCGAAGCGAGGTGGGCGATATCGTTCCTACACGCCCATTGCTAGCTTGGGTAAGTCTAGGTACACACTTATCATCCACTCAGCCACCATCACTGCGCCATTTACGGTCTGGAAGACAATTCCATGCCAGCCAAAGCCATCGGCTATGCACATTGAAAGCAGAAGTCCGAAGTGGAAGATGAGAAGGGACCATAGCCCGCAATGATTGGTCTGTAACCCAGGTCCTGTCATATCAACATCTTTTCCTTAAGAAACACTACGCGTCATGAGGCAGCGTCTGGAACGGGCCCAGGTGTCCGAAAACAGGCTTTGCAAGAGGTCTGTACGAAAACAGGCGCTGTTCATCTAAGGATGGTCATCGGTGGCTGGATCGAAGCCAGCTGAGTTGACGAAGACGGATTGTTGAAGAATATCATTGAGTGAAAATCAAAGAGGTTGGTGACTACGAACGAGAGATAAATATCGATAAAATCCTTCCCCGAATTGTTTCAATCATTTGCCAGAAGGGTCTCCTGCAGCCTCAATCTAACACTTGATCAGCTTTTTACCCTTTCGCAAGAATTTTATCTTTACTATTCACGCTCGTACCATGTCTGCCGCTGCCACTTCTGGTGCTGAGAGTGTGGGTCTCGTGGGTCTCAGGAACACGGCTACGAAGAACAAGCTCAGTGACACCGTGGTCCCTCTCTGGGACCTTGAGTCCACAGACAACAGTATCCCTACTGCAGAGGCCTTCAATCATGTGAACCCTGGAGTCGAGTCTGTTATTGGCGGCGACGAGGTATTTTCAAAACCCCCAGATGGTTCGCGTCTTGACGCTAATTCTACCCGAGCGTGTGCGTGTTTCCAAAGAGCACTTCGCCGCTGGAGGCAAATATCGCTGTGAGTAGACTCTGAACTGAATGAAGAGAGAAGAAGCTGATCGGACTAGCCATTGTAAAAATCTTCTTGCGCTATGAAAACCAGAAGCCCGGTGCTCGATGGCCCATTGCTACAGGATGGCTCATTCGTCCTGATCTTCTAGTGACCGCTGGGTAAGCTTCACATCCCGTCTAACTAATGTTACCCTCGCTGACTTTTGAAGCCATTGCGCTTTCGATTGGGCTCACAACATGGGTCGCCTTGTCCAAGTCAAATGTTACATCGGATATAACGGCAACAATTCCATCAAGGACTACTCAGCCAACGTCCAGTGCCGCCAGGGCAAGCGCGTTGCCACGACCCTTGACTGGCTCACAGCTAAAGGAAATCGCGCTTTCGATGCTTCTTTCATCCTTCTTGACTCCCCTTTTGAGGGTATCACGCCGTTCAAATTTGCAGATACACCCCTTTCGGGTTCCATGTCTCTTGGCGTTGTGGGTTATCCTGGTGACTTGAAGGATCCTGCTACAAACGAACCCGGTGCCCATATGTACGAAATGTTTTTACCAACCAAATTTAATTTGGTCGACTCCCAATGGCGTATGTTGGAGTACGAGATAGACACCTTTGGAGGTAAGTTACGGCGAATCAAGCCCGAAGGAAATCTAATAACACGTCCTAGGCAATTCCGGATCTCCTGTCCTCCGCGAAAGCGATCACGTTGCTGTAGGCGTCCACGTCTACGGAGGTTCTCCCAATTCTGCCTCGGTCATTGGTCTTTACGGAAACCCCTTCCTTGACTATGTTGCTGCTTTCGATTTGCATGCGCAAAAAGTCAAGCTTCCTGGACATTCTTCCACTCCGGGCGTGCAATACATCACGGTCCCAACCTCAAAGACTCCAGACGTCGTGCAAGGCAATGTTGATCTCAACAGTGGAAAATTCGGCACTTTCACCTCTGAGCGCGGCTTCTCGCATGGCATCCACCAGACCGCCTCAAATGGAAACGGAACTAGTCATCATCGCAATGAATACCACGACAAGCATCAGAATGGTCATGCAGCTCACGAGAGCAGCTGGATTGCCAGAACGTCACCACCTCAAATCACATACACACGCACTGCAGCCATGGAAAACCCGAGAGGAGGTCGCGGATCGCTCCCACCAATCCAATACCACACCATGGATGAAGAAGGCTTCTTTACTATTCTCAAAGAGAGCATTAGGATCAGCGGCCCGATTTTGAAAGGTGTCGTGGGTGTTGTGGGCCCCATGGCTCTCGGACCCCTCGGTGGACCCGTATCCGCTCTAGCAGGTCTTGCTATCAGCGCCGCTGGTAAGCTTGCTGAGACAAGCACCGGCGCTGAAAGCGCTATGGATGCCGCAGAGCCTCCACCGGGTCTTGCAGAGCGTGCCATCCTTGCAGAAGCTGCGTTTGTGGCCATGACCAAGATGAACAATCAGACACTCGCGGAGGAGGGTTTCTTCGACGATATGTGGCAGGTTGCGCGCAAAGTCATTCCTGTTGTGGCTCAAGTTGCGCCCAAGATTATGGACGTGGTAGCACAGCCAGCGCTCGCCATCGCTGTTGATGCTCTTGGGAACCGCAATGAGACTGAGGGTTTCTTTGAGAATTCTGCCAACGGAGCCCGCGCTTCTCAGCATGGACGTGCACGCCACCATCCAGCTTCTCATATCCATGCGACGACAGGTGCTGAAGCTTTCATGGCACGCCTCGAGCATGCGAGCCAACAAGAAGAGGGCTTTTTCGGCAGCCTCGGCCAGATCATCTCCACAGGCATCAAAGTCGCTGGGCCGGTACTTTCAACAGTAGCCAAACATGGGCTCCCCATTCTGCAGGGTATGTTTGCTGAAGCCGATTTCGACGAGACTAGTGCCCCACCAGTTCTGGCTGGCATGGACGGCCTTCACCAGCGAGCAATTCTCGCCGAGGCTGCCCTTCAAGCTGCTATGAAGGCACCTCAACATGTTCTTGAGGAAGAGGGCTTCTTCGACTTTATGGCTGCGGCTGTGGCCAAGATTGCCCCTGTAGTTATGAAGGCAGCTCCAACAGTCCTTAGGGCTGTTGCTCCTGTTGTCTCGGGAATGCTGAGGGGAAACGCGGAGAGTGGAATGCTGTCCGCGGGTGGACGTGGGGGGCATGGCCTCCGCAAGATGGCTTCAAGCAACTCGATCCGCGGAGAGCCCCGCACCGGGTTTGGGGCTAATCCTGCTCTGTGGAAGAGCATGCAGTCTCTGCAAGTCCAAGGAGAGTCTTTCTAACTGGGCTTTGATTGCAGAATGTTGCTGATTAAGTTGTGCTCTTCTTCCGAGATTAGCTCTCTATCACTCTTACGCTCGTTTAAAGAGTGCACCGATAGTCCGGGAAAGGCATAGCTAGAACTAGTTTCAGTAATACAAAAGCTTGACTTTCGATGTTTGCACACCGAGTCCGACGTGAGTGAAAAGGCAAGCAAGACCATCTAACCACTGCACCTCATGGTTCTAAACCTCAGGCGCTGCGTGACTAGCGGTCACGACATAAACCTCCTTGCCACCCCCTCTCACAAGGTCGCAGCATGCTCAATGACCACGCTACGATCCAATACTATTGTAGGGCGAGTGGAGAAGTCATGCCTTATACGTACCAATCCGTTCTCAGATTTCTGATCTTCTACGCTCTGCTCTCAGAAGAGCAGCGGAGGCATGGACGCGTTCCAGCCTTCTGGCCTGCCGCCTGATTCGACTGCGAGGTCATCTCGAAAGAGATTCGCCCATGCTCCGCTCGACACGTCTAAACAACAACTACGACTCTTGAGACCCTTACCAGACCTCGACCCAAACGGTTATATTTGCTGCGAAATTGTCCTCGTCGATTTGGAAGAGGCATCTGACTACCGAGCCATCTCCTACGCTTGGGGACCACCGGATCCTTGTCGCGAAGTCCTAAGTCAATGGAGATGTTATAATAATACGAGAAAATCTATACCAATTCCTGCATATGTTCCAAACACAGTCGAAAAAAGACATCGCGATCTGGATAGACTAGATCTACATATGTTCCTATGGGACCGCAATCAACCATCTCGGAACCTTGAGGTTTACACCTCAGTTTTTTGAGGGATTTCATACTCACCCTTGTACGTATTTGGCTAGTCAGATCAGGCAATACATTCTTCCATGTTTTCAAATCTGAAATCTATCATCACGCTTTCTGTTTTCGCGTCGCCTTTCCTTTTCTTCATCTTGAAATGACCGCGTATCCTTGCGCTTCCCCCAACAAAGGGCCGGCGTAGTCCAACGAGGGCCTTAGTGTCCACGACGGTGTCCCTAAATTATATCGCGCAGTTCCGCTGCTCAACGCAGATAATGGACCTCAACTCCTTTTTTATCCGATTTCGGAACACATCCACTCTATACATATACCTAAGTTAGAGGGCGCGTCTGAGCAGACTTCAAGAGGCTATATGTTGTTGATTCCGACAGCCACGAGCTTACAGCCCTCCACCCATTAACTGGTCGGGACCCAGTTCCGGGCCCAAGGCGCCAGGTTAGCTGAGATGCAACCACTATCTTAAAACTCCGCCTTACCTAGGGCTTAATCCTCTAAGGGTAAGCAAGTTTACAATTGTATGGCCAGCAACAACTCCTCGGCGCAAGCCGGTCTCTAATTGTTATGGGCCGAATGAGCTTAGAGTCCTAAAATTAGTAGAATTGCTTAATTTGGTTTCCTGAGTCTTTTCGGTCTCCTAAGGTCTCAGGTTGTGAAGAAGCAGTTCTGTATTGATTTGAAGAGGCACAAAGCCCGTATATATAGCCCCTGAAAGGGGGGGGGGAGGGAGGTACTCCCCTGTTCCCCCCTTGTTACGGATATGGAAGGATGTAACGCCACTGACACGCTAGTAGTGGCAACCTGAGTTAAGGCACATAAGGTATGGCACATGCTAATGTATTTTTACAAGCTTTAACATATAGATAATAAAATGATTGAAAGCTAACTTTCACATTTCTTTCGCTATTCTTCACGTAACGTTCGAAAGTGGCTTAGCGCGCTCCTCTTCCCCACTGCCTCAGCCTTGGCTGCTTCAACCGATCCTCGCTGAGAACCACCGCATCGTACGCTTCATCATCTTGAGCTCGGCAACTCATCATTATCACTTCTCATCTGCTACCACGGTTGTCGCAACTCCATTGTGAGCACATCTCTAGCCGGGCTCATGATCTCTGCCCGCTCGCCATGAGACTGATCCACGCTCGAAGCATTCAACTTGTGGATGTCATCGAAGAAAGCAGGCCGCTCTATACCATTCTATCACATACTGGGGAAGAAAATGAGGTTTCATTTGAAGACATGCAAGGCCCTCATGCGACCAGTAAATCGGGATATGGCAAGATCAAGTATGCTTGCCAGCAAGCGCTTGAAGATGGATTAGAGTATGTGTGGGCCGATACTTGCTGTATCAATAAAAGTAGCAGCACCGAGCTATCCGAGGCCATAAACTCGATGTTTCGTTGGTATAAGAACGCGTGGGATTGCTACGCCTACCTCGCGGATGTACATGTACATGGCTCCGACGTCCTCTCTCAAGACGCCATCGACGCAGCATTCGCGCAAAGTAGGTGGTTTATAAGAGGGTGGACACTGCAAGAACTACTGGCACCTTCAGAAGTGCACTTCTATTCTAGTGACTGGGGCAAGCTGGGCACCAGGTACACTCTTGCCGACTCTATTTCAGCAGTTACCAAGATTGATCGCGCCTTTCTGCTAGACCGCGAGACCATTGGACAAGCAAGTATCGTAAAAAGAATGTCTTGGGCATCAGGGCGAGTGACCACTCGGCTAGAAGATACTGCATACTGTCTCCTCGGTATCTTCGACGTCAATATGCCGTTACTCTACGGCGAGGGCGAGAAGGCTTTCATCCGATTGCAGGAAGAGATCATGAGACATTCAGATGATCAATCGCTCTTCGCATGGGGTCAAGAGGATGAACCGCATTGGATGAAAGCGAATCCGACTAAATATGTACGTGGATTGTTGGCAAGCTCTCCAGCCGAATTTTCGACTTGCGGGAACGTTATTCCCGACGAGTTTGCGGAATTGGAGGAGCCGCACGCTCTCACGAATAAGGGCGTGCGACTTGCACTTCCTGTGTATAAGAACCATACTCCTCCGCGCCAAAATATGGCGCTTTTAGCCTGTCGCTCTGAAGATGACCTACTGCAAGTCTTCACCATGCCTCTCAAGTTCATCGGACGAGATCAAGTGGCTAGAACCTGCATTAAGCCTCGTCTTGTGCCGCGAGATCATGTGGTGGACGTGGAAAAAAGAGTTCTTTACATGAGGCAATCGTTGCAAACATATGGATCCTCTGGTATCGCAAACATCTCTCCTATATCGTTCTTCATACGAACTTTCCCTACGGATTTCTCTATCAGAAGCGTACAGCCCGCTAGCTGTTGGGACGCACGAAATCGAGTAATTCGCCCGCCACGTTCTGTCACTCATTGCGAAGAAAATTGGGAAGCAAAGATCCTGATAGCCGTTGATCACGAAGACGTTACAGACTGGGTGATATTAGTCGGTTCCTCCAACGGACGTCCTTATTCTTGCTTCATCACCGAATCGGATTACCATATGAGAAACGGGTTCGGACGCCCCACTCGTTTGAAAAGCAACATCAGCGATTTGTCTCACAACGTCGAAGTTGTCATTACCCATGGAAGACCCGTCGAATCAATGGGTAGTTACATGAGCTTTATAGATGTTACCTGTCTAGGTTATGTCCGAGCAGTGGTACCAGCTCAAGTGGAACTGAGATAGCGCGCAACATCTTTCGTAAGAAAACTTCTTAGCGAATCGGGTAAAACTCATGGCGTTTCACTGTGATCACTATTGCGAAGGTTGCACTTTTGCCTGAGCCCTTGGCTGAAAGAAACTCATTATGTAGAGCACTATACAAGTACAAACTCCGTTAGGGCAAAGGCCTTATTTCATCCTTGGTCAAGTGTCATCCCACTCCACACCCAAGTCTACGAAAAATGAGATTGAAAAGAGAAGGATCGAAACTGCTCTAGTAATCTTTGGAAAGTATTGTTGGCTTAGACTAAGCTCCTAGAAGCTACGAAGCTAGGCATCTCTTTTGAGTGAACGGTCGCAGTATTATGCTATCAAAGATAAGATCTCTCTACAAATGTAGTACTTTAAATCACTTGTCCATCGCTTTTTAAGGTGATTTCTTGCGCACGGTAATAATATAGTACCACCCCATTTTGTGTATGAGAGTAAGTCAGGTCCTCTTGCTGCTTCGCACTCCCTGAGGCTGCGACCGGTCCAGCTGTCGACATCTCAGACGAGACGCTTTATTCTTTCCTTCTGAAGCACGCTCAAGGGTCAACGCGATGATGGGTGATCTAGGACGACACTTGAGCGGAGACTATCTCTTCTAATGAACATTATTGAGTTAGGAGGAGGTCTTTCGTCATGAAGACGGTGCGTAGCGAGACCCGTGATATGGGTGGAACTAGATTTTGTTGATTTTATTGTCTTGAACGCCCGACTTTGGTGAATGCACACACATTTGCCTTGTTTCGTTCAACTTCGCCGCTCTTGTCCCTTTTTTTCATGCTTCTGCGTCCCTATACCGCGTTTCTACCCGGCATTCTTCTTGCAGCTGATGGCTGAATTACTTGCTCAGAGGATCGCAGGATGCCTCTCTTTCGGTCTCCAGGCTCTTCCTTCCGGTTTCCAGACCCTTGTTCTTGAGGACTGTTGGCGGTTCTCGTCCAACGATGTTGCGAGTTTATTAGTACTGGATCAACGGGGCAGCATCAGGCGCCCCTTGACGCGGATTAGCGCAAGCTAGACGAGGCAGAGGAGATGTACCAAGGGGCACTGGAAGGATATGAGAAGGCATCCGGGCCCGACCACACGTCGACGCTTCAAACGGTTAACAGACTGGGGCAACCTCTAGAATAGCGTCACGTGAGCCCGCCGAAAATAGACCTCTGCCATCATGTTTCTCTACGGCTGAAAGGGGACTGACTAGCGGTGATGCCAAATTAGGATCCCCGGGGGCCTGCCATTACCTCGACTTAATGGCACTATTTTCTGGACCGGTGCAGTTCGCATCGACCAAAACAACATCCCAGAACGCAACCACCAAGTCCGGCGCCGCGCTTGTCATGGTCTGGCTAGGCCTCGCCGCCGACGACAGCGAATTCGCCATCCGGACCTTTGTAACATCCATTATGAGAAACCCTGTACTGGGCTCGTATGCAAGGAGGTTCCACGCCGTGCACCGCTTGTTATCCGGCACGTACTAGGAGCGAATGTGGATCGTTCAAAAGTTCATCCTTGGCCGCAACGTGCTCGTGTATTGCGGCGACGACTCCTTCTACTGGGAGGCTCTCTGGAAGTTCCTCCAAGCTTATGAAGCTCTTGCAGAACAACTCGGGGAGACAATCGGAATCTATACGCGGGGCTTGAGAGCTCGCTCGGCGCGAAGGTCGTACGCGCGAAGCAGCCTTCATCGAATCCTACCTGGGCCCCAGATCTCCCGCAATTGATTCTGCAGTCGTCGGCTCAGAAGTGCAAGGATCCTCGCGACGTCTTTGCGCTGTTGGGAATACCCCTCAGCGTTGCTGTTTGGAGAGAGCAAAAAGCAGAGGGATTCCGAGTTGATTACTCTGGGAGTGCGGAGCAGGTGTACTCTGACGTGTTCCGCTACTTTGGCTCTACTTTAGAGCCTGCTGCAATGGAAGAGTTTTCCACGAAGTTAGTGGTGATCCTGGGGGTACAGTCATCTCACGAGGTCGTCAACGGTGCATATTTGTGGACCAAGGGTTTCGCCGCGAACGCCGAGCTGCTCTAAACCATGCTGGTATATTGTTTTTGAACACGCGGTACAGTCAATAGAACATTTCCTCCAGAACACCAAAAACGCCCGCTCCAGCCATACATTACACATTTCTCACAGAACCACCATCCAGCCATCAGTCAAGTCCTTCTAAACCATATCCCTCGGAGCCTGCGCAGGCCGGCTGGGCGACGGGTCTCTCGACAAACGCCCCTCCGCTCCACCAGTCCTGTAATCATCATACCCCAGCAACTGCTGCTCCGCAACATCGCCATAGGCATGCGTCACGCCGTACTGCTGCGTTCCCGGCGCGGTTGGCACGTATGCGCCCGGGATGGGCGAAGTGCTGCGATACTGTTCCGTCTTCAACGGCTCCCGCGCCATGTCGTCCAACTCGCTGGTCCGCTGGCGCTTAGGACCTTGGCCGAAGCCGTGGCCTGTGGGCGAGCGCTTCTGGATCAAGAGAGTGATGGCATACATGGAGCCGCGGATGATGTCCGAGAGATTCATCGCATCCAAGATGGCGCGCCACGTCGGCATGCGATAGGCGTCTGGGCGCATGTCGGAGTGGTAGACGCGTGAGCGGTAGGCGAAGTGGAAGGTGAAGGAAAAGGCCGTGGCCTCGAGACAGGTGAGGGTGGACGGGATGCCGTAGTAGATGTCGTCGTAGGTGAGCGTCTTGGAGGGCCTGAAGGTCTTGCCGGCCAGGAAGCCGAAGATGATCATCTGGAAGAACTGGAAGAAGACGACGCCTTTGAAGCAGACGAGCTTGGCGAGAGCGTGGTGCTTTGGGTCAAACTCTTTCTTAAAGCGGCCGTAGAAGCGGAAGACGGCGCTGATGGCGCCGCCGATGAGGAATGTGTCGGCGAGGAGGAGCTGGGTTTGTTAGATGGCTGTGGAATAGACTTGGGGGTGGATGGGGCGTACCCAGATGTGAGCGTACTTGGGACTCAATGAGTTCATGCAGTACTTGTTCGCGGCTTGAGTGGCGATCTCGATGATGCAGGATATCGTCTTGGTGAAGGGGTATTGGAAGACGACAATCCAGGTGCGCTAAGTGCCGTATTAGTCGGTATTGCGTTGATGGCGGTTGGAGCTTTCTTACATTGAACCACAAAAGACTGCCTCCTGGGATGACATTCCCTTTCCTGTCCTTGTTCTCTACGCCATTGAAGTAGGCATCCCGCATCTGCTCATCCGGACACACAAACTCGACGTAGAGGAGGAAAAGCGCGGCAATGCAGAAGGCTTGGTAGGTTTCCTTGAGGGGTGATAGATATATGGAGTCGCTGTAGAAAATGATGGACAGCAATTCGAGGGCGCAGAATATGACTGGCATAAAAATGATGCGGACGTTCTGGCGTTGCTCCTTGGGGCAGGTGTATCGGTGGAGATGCTTCCAGATGAGAAATAAGGCGCTCGCTGTGGTCAGGCCCAGACAGGCGTAGGCCATGTATTCCATCAAGCTTTTGGCCGTGATGCCGATGGATAGCTTGGCGCCATGTTCGTTGGGCTTCGGGCGCGCGCAGGTGAAGTTGCTGCTTTTGTCGCTTCCGAAGAGACTTCGAGTCAGAAGCTCGGGAAGGTCGGGGTGTTGGAGCATGTTGGCGAGGAAAACGGGTATTGAACGCAAAGTGCGTGCTAGGAAACGGCGTTGGCGGGGAGGGATAGGCAGGGGAGGAAAACGGAATAGTGCTGTTGCAAGATGTGGACTTTGATGATGAGAAGAGTGGCTCGAAAGGCTCCACGGATGCTTTATACACTAGCTGCAGCTATTCTTGCCAGCTGGAGGCCGGTTGAGGGCCGATTGCGCGCGGTGTTATAGCAGCACGGCCTCATTGCACACAGCATAGCCAGGAGATGTACGCTGCAGGGCTGCGAGCGCCGGGACCAACGACGTAGGTGGGTGGGTGCGGGGCAGCGTGAGAGGCCAATGGGCGGCATTGTCTCCGGCCATCTCTACCGCTGGCGTCGGCGGTGCAGAATCAAGCTTCAGCCCTGGCACCTGGCGCGACACGCTGCGTCGGGGTGTCGGCGCATACATTCAAGCTCACCAAGCATCGCCATCGTCGGCGCAGCTCCCGACGATCTCGGCCGTGTCGGCCAATCAGTGGCGTCGTCACTGCTTCGCGACTGTAACCGTGTTGGTGATGTCGCGCGCTGAAGGCTTGTCCAGGGCAACTTGCATCCCCAGGGTTCGAAGCGTCGCTGTGCTCCTCGCCTTGACCAGGCGTAAGACGGCGGAGCTATACACCGTTGAGCATTGCGGAATGGCCGTGTCAACGCCTGATGAGACAGCTCTACGGAATAGCGTGAAGCTGTCCATGGCCTAGACATTGCTCTCGAGGCCTCTCCACGGCCCCTCACGGCCCCTCCACGGCCCCTCCACGGCCCCATCCTGTGGCGCCCCAGCGGTGACTGGTGCCGTGGAGAGCATGTGGAGATGCCCAGGGGAGATAGGGAGACGCAGCCACGAGAGAGTCAGAGGCGAACAGGTCGCCCTGCCCAGCGCGCGCATTGGCTGCGAAAACGGCCTTCTCCATGCTGGCACACTGGAACTGCAATAAAAATAGGCAGTACAAGAGCCCGTCGTGCAGCAGATGCCTTCCACCCCCAGACCCCTGGCCAGCACCAACAAACACCCCAGAAGGCTGAAGGAGCACCAATCACACCCCGGCCTGGCAGACGATAATGTTCGCGGAGGAGCCAATCGCGCAATGAAGACGTTTGCGGAATAGGCTGCGACAGGGCACCAGGGCCTTTCCGAAGTTGATGCCCATCCTCGACATCATCCATGCGTACACCCACTTCAGCCACCAACACCACAACACTATAGCGACCATGCACAATGCAGTCATGATCCCGCCCTGTGGTACTGTGGTAGAGCAGGTGGTAGAGCAGGAGGCAGAGACCGCAAGGCTGTGCTCCCACGCACTTTCCAAGCGTCCCTGCAGGCAAATATTCCGTCTTCCCGCGTCGAGCACGCCCCATCCGCGCCATCTCACAGGGGTCCCGAGATGTCCACTAGCACCGCTTATCCTCGCGCTCCCCGCTTCTTATCCTCCGACTTCTCTTCAGCGGCTCCTTTGACATCATGCCTACCAAGCTTTGAGTCTCACAATTCCACTCTATATTCTCTCACATCTACCAGTCTACATCTCATCACACCTTTAAAATGATCGTCACCGGCAAATACGTCTACAAGAAGTACAAGAAGAGGAAGCAAGCAAAGGAAGACTCCCTAGCCGCCGACTCTGCCCATCACGACGAACTGGTCAACAGCGTCCAAAACCCCAGCCCATCAATACTCATAACCGGCGATGCTGCAAACCCAAATCCAGCACTCTACCATGCACATCCACCACCTTACGCAGATGTCGAGCAGGCCATGCTTGCGCAAACTCAGCCCCCGTATTCGCCGTACAGTCCTCCGCACCAGCCACCGTCTCCATCTACCTTATCGCCGTCAGCAGCTTCGCCCTACCTGCAACACCAGCAGAATCTTTCGCCGACAGAGATCGCGGTTAGGGGGAGGTGGGTGTGGCAGCCGGACACGCCCGATATACCCACGCCGACAGCCACGGATTCTTCGTACACGGTCTCGCTACCTGCGCAATCTACGAAACCTCGGGTCGCCGAGCTAGAACCTGAAAGAGCGCCCGCCGAGCTCGCGGTTGGCAAGACGTTTGCATTCGAAAAGGATGTCGAGAATGGCCCCGTCGAGCTACCAGCCGACCTACCATCGGCAGACGACAGCAGCGGCAGCGAAGACAATATGGTACCGAAGAAGCTAGGCCTCGAGAAGCATGCGCAGCGGGATCTGCCAGATCCTACGTCTTCGAAATTAGATCAGTACGGTTCCTCGCGTGAGTGCTGATTGGGAATATATTGACAAAATACAGGGCGACAAACTTGGTCAGGTAGATGAGCAACTTCCGGGGCGTTTCAAGGAATACCAATACCAATGCTTTGAGTTTCTCAATATCACGATTACATTCCTACAACTTCTCATATAGAATATTTTGCTCAATCACGTGACCTATTATCACCTTTATTTTCTAGCTTACGTCTCTTTTTCTCGCACATTCCCATCTCCACGGCAGTCCGCCCTACGAATGTGAAATCTCGATGTGTCAGTCTTCGATTTCATAACTCCTTATGCGATTGGGTACGTGATGCGGACCTCCTCGAAAGAACGCGAAACGAAGATGCCACAGCCGTACCCTACCTCCTCGCTCTACGTTGCTTGCCACCTGTCTTCCATTGTCCTTGCGCTCTACGTTGCATGCTTGGTGGCCGAAACGATGGCCGAAGATATCAACGGCGGTGGTGAGCATGTGAGAAGCGAGGAGCGAACGACCTGAACTGCAGAGTAGAACCGAGCCTGATAGGGAAAGAAAGAGCAAAGAATAAGCTGAATCCATACAGAAGGGCTCAAAGAGGAGCGCCCTGCGAAGAATCAAGGACGAAGAACGAGCACAAGAAGCCTAGGAGTACGTGTACTTGCTCTTGACAACGTACCTGGCAACCTGCTAGGCTGTTCATCTGCGCTGTAGTTACTGGATACAGCCACCAATGGGCCGTAGGAAAGCCCGCCACCACATCTGAATTGCAGCTCAGAGTACGCCTCACGCCCTGAACGAGATGTTGAATCAAAACACAGCCCTTTTCTTGCTTGGTAGTATACGCGTTCCTCTGCGCGATGGAACTAATGCTTCTATTTTCATCCTTTTCTGGCCCGAGACTTTGATACCTCAGGTTGAAGTGCTACACCTCATCTGGGAGATGATTAGCTCCATACTTTATAGAAGCAGGCTTCGATACCACCTCATTGCAACATATTCGTCACTCACAGTCCGCAGCGCCCAACAGCCTTCCCACAACTCTTCAAAACTTCATTCTCTCTTACACGTTAGCATCATTCCCGCCGCACAGTTTGCATACTTCCTATTGGATCTCTAGGAAGGTACAACGCTACCTCCAAACCGCATTATCGCACCCTCGAACATCCTCCTGCCCCGAGCGAAAGACTTCGCCTACTACCACTACAACCCTTCCAAAGCCGCCGCCATCATAATCCTTGTCCTCTTCACCACTTCTACCAGACGTTGCGAACAAGCGCATAGCATCCAAACTAAAACGGTGATACCTAGGCGGAGCTATGAACGCCTCGGGCTCCAACGCCTCAAAAGGCCGAACAGTCCTGGTCACTGGCCTCTTCATCTAAATCATCTTCTTCAGTCTCTTCGCCATCAATAGCTTGGTCCTCATGGTGCGGCTCCGGAAGTCGCCCACCACAAAGTCGAAGCGCGTGCCCTGGATGAAGTTCCAAGGTTCTTTGCAGCCCTTTGTGTCCTTTTGGCGCTGGACCCTCGTCCGTTCGGTGTACCGTGTTGTCGAGTACATCCAAGGCCAAGATGGGATCATTATGGGCTATGAGGTGTAAATCTATGGATTTGATGCGACGCTGATGTTTATTGTTATACTGGCGTTCAGTGTGTGGCATCCGAGCGAAATCACGGCGTTGTTCTATGGTCGGAGGGTCGCGCGGCTTTTCTCCACATATCGAATTCTAGAGGAGGGTTTGGAGAGCACTCTTGAGCTTGGGATGCAGACGTCTCATCGTCGTTCCAACCGTGGCATGCCGCCCCGTATTGCTACTGTACGGCAGATGGCCAGCATTCTAGCTAGCCAACGCGTTGTACAGAAT